CGAGTTCAGTTTCGGATAGAGCATGTCGGAATGCATATGTATAGATACATGAACTATTTCGAGCAGATGAAAAGTAAAGACAAATGAAATGAAAACACTAAAAAAACTGTCTGTTCTTATAATTTTGTCCACTACTGTATATATGAGAAGTCAACTTTATGAGTGTTTATACAAATGTCACAGGAACATTGTTGGTTGCTCACTAAAGAAAATAAAAGCGTGATAAAGTAAGAATCATTCATATTTGAGAGCTCTTCCTTGATCCTTTATCTCACATAGCTGAAAGTCGTGGTCGTCAGCAAAAAACGAACACTTTTTGCTTTTTTACCCGTTTACAAGCATTTTCGAAAGTTGTATGGGTGTTTAGATAGTCAAAAAAACAAGAATTTCTGGACGCTCCTTGTAACATTCTGATCGCGGCTCTCGTTTGAGTTTTCAGATTTATTCAGAAAATACCAAAAACTAGTTACCTTCCCCATGTAAGATGCTTGAAACTGCTTAGAAGGTAACGTTTGCATCTTCAAAATACTCAAATGGGAGCCGTCACTATGACGTTAGAACGCTTTTTTAGAAATTCTTGTCTGCTATGATAGCATAAGACTACACAAACGATCTTGAACTGAACGAAACTTTTGGGTTCTAAAGAATTCCTGTCTTCTTTAAGATAAAATTTGATTTTTGTTAGTTCGGTAACCTTTGTATTGAAAAGAAATAAAATATTCAATATATAGGTAGAGAATTGCGTTGCACGGCATAACATTTGTCTTTTCTTCTAGGTAAAATATTTTTGATAAAAATTCAGAGAAAACGCTTTCGTCGAAGATTTGTGAGAAAAATGTTTGAGTTGCATTCGTTCTTATCATTTAGTTTCGACCAGCCTTGGAAATTAGTATTGCTCCAATGAAAGAATGGTTGTTATGAAAAAGAACCTATGTTCGTATATTCTATAGATATTGCTTATGGTGTAATGAATGGAAGGAATGAATATGTGTAAACATGTATTACCCAAAGCATACAACGTAAATAGAAAGAAAAAAAAACAGATGACAGTAATAGGATGCGTTAGATAGTTAGACGAAGAGAGGTGACGACCGACGCTGGGACAAAATACTTCTTTTCATTTAGTGGATTGATTATGCTCCGTATTTTTTTTCTCTCATATCAGTTCATTTTGTTTGTTTGCACAAGAGCTCCAAGTTGTAGTCTCACTAAACGATATAATCATATTTTTCTCATTACAAAGTCGATTAAAAGCTATTTCTCTTCCAATTTCTCTTTTATGTTGTTTGCTTTCGCTGTAAATAATGTGGCGAGTTTTTGTCAGAATCAATAAAGACGCATGAGAAGGAATAAAAAACTAATGACCACTGTATTGACATAATGGCATATGCATTATACTATTTTTATTGTTCCATCGATTAAGATCAAATAGAGCCCATAATGGAGAAAGCAACATGTCATAAATATTAAGTATTTCTTTTACTATTCCAATGATGTTGATGAAATCAAATTCTCAAGCATAACTCGAGTATGATCTTCTTGTACCATTATCTTACTTTTTATTGCGTTTTCATTGTTACGATTGTCACTTCGTTTTTGCCTGATCAATCTTCGTTCGATGTCTATGGGTTAAAACTTGCTGCTAATGACGTACTTCTCGTTGAATCACTTCCTGATCAAGACTCATTTTTGCTTCGTCTTGCTCCCTTTAAGTACTCGCGCATTTGCAAACTTGACTACGATGATTCAGATCAATATGTCTATTCAGTAGCATTAGCTCGACAAATGCAAACTAACGATATAATTCGATTCGTCTTCATTGGCATTAACAAAAGAACAGATATTCCATTTATTGGCTCATTAAATTATACAAAAAGCAGTGAAGTTGGACATGTAGCTACAATGACGCCGACATCGAGAAGTATCTTCTCATGCGTTGGATGGAATACAGATAATTATAAAATACATAGTTTCGATCAGTTTAAATATGAAGAAAATGATTCGAATGGTAACATGGATTTCTTTGTTGTTGCTGTTGAGTAAGTATTCCCTTCTTTCATAGTCACAGCTATTACTCAGTAAGATCACAAAGAAAAATCCTAAAGATACTGATCGTTACGCTCGTACTATAATCAGAATTAATGAATTCATTTCCTTGAACTTGTAACAACCTTCTATGAAAAACGATTGTACATGATTAGTTAAGTATATATTGAGAAAATCGAATGTTTACGAACATATGATCGATATATCGATGTTCTACTTTTGATCTGAGACTTTTAAATTGTGAGCAGATTTAAAATGTCGAAGTCTCCTCAACTTCCACCTCAGACTCCAGCAGGTACATGTAAAAAATTGTCTTTAATGTCAAACACCATGAACTAACATAAATGATAATAAACTCAGTCGTAATTTGATGGTTATTTCTATTCTTGATCGTTATTTAGTGTCAAACTAGTGTGTATTATCTGAATGAATTTAGTTCTGATAAAACAAACAGTTTTTAGTTCCAAGTTATCTCTCAGTTTTTGCTGAGTAGACTACTTACCCTTAGAAGACCTTTTGATATGATTCTTTTGGATTATTTCTAATGAAAAGTATGAATAAAGATATAAAATAACAGAGAAAATAGAAATCTATACTATAAATAAATTCTTAAAAGGAAAGAAAATTTTTATAGAATTAAGATACATAATTTTTCATTTTGAAGACTCTAGATACTTACTGTTACTATAGTTTTAATAGGATAGAATATGAAATAAAGTAAAACGCTTTTAGCACAACTTTTACATGAGGAAGAAGGAACTTGTTAAGTTCGAAATTTAAAATTTATAAAAATCTATTCAAGATCTACAAATCTAAAGTTCAAACGTTCAAAACTTTTCAAGAAAGGTCTAAAACTTGAAAACGATAATTACAAAACTAAAAACACTGCTTTCTAGTCGTATGCACATATTTGTCACATTTTTCGGGGTAGGCGTATACAACGCAATCTGAAAAATCTGACCGCTTTATGAAATATAATGTTTATATTTATAATATTCAAGTTTGGGACTGATGTATTTTGTAATATATACAGCTGAGAAAGCGCTATTACCTGAATAGAAGTGTTTCTATTTTGAAAACGCTCTACGCAGGTGAGCACAAAAAAAAGGAAGCTTATTCCGTATGAGTTCTGGTCTCAAACGAAACCATTTTTAGTTTTTAATCCACTTTCTAGTATCAAACTTAATAATTCAATAAAGAAGACAGCATAATGACTTCATATTTTGAGACTATACTCTAAGACGTTCACAACTTAAGTACAAATATAAATTAGTTCGAAGGTTCAGTCATGTGTATCTTACTTTCTCTAGTGGTCCATTTTTTCAGAGATATTTGTAAGAATAATAAGAATTCAATGTTCGAAGAAAAGTTTGTGAAAAAGATCAGATCAGTAAATACTTCGAAACCCTATATGGTATAATCCATTTCTATGCAAAAGAAAAAGCCAATTTATTGCAGACTGCTTTGAAAAACTTTTTTCTTCTGAAGTAAAATCTATATTGAATAGCATAGTATTAGTTGTCGATCATATGTATTTGACACATTCTTCTTTAGACCCATGGGTCAGTTTGCCTATGCCTTCGCCCAGACTTTGCTCCTTTTGTACAATCTCGAAATGGATCATGTTTCCATTCAACTTGGTAATCTAACCTGGCCTGACAGCTCATTCCTTCCACGTGCTGTGGATATTAGTCAAGATCTGTTCGTTGTGGTACTTGGCTATGTGGGTGATTCGAGGAACAGCTACATCCCATGCGCTTATCTACTAACCAAGTCTGGTTCAAATTTCACTGTACTTGATACATGGATATACATGCCGCCAACGGCTACATCATGGCAAGCAAGCCTTACGAACTGGGACACTAATGTCTACTCGGTAAAATACGATATGTCAGTGAGTATTAACAACGCCAAAAATCAAGTCATCTTCGGAATTCAAATAATAAACACTATTATATTGCTTGGTATCGATCGAGCCACGTCAAAGTTCCTCCTACCAACGCATTCACTCTCAAATGGAAAAGCCATTGGAATGGGTAAAACAGTCGGCTGGCTCAAAAGTGATGTTGCTGTGATACTGGTTAATACATACTCTCTCAATTATGTTTGGTCAGCATCACAAATATTTACGTATAATGTGAATGCTAACAATAGTTTTATCGTCAAATCAATTATACCAAACGCTCAGCAGACATTTACGCCAGAATTCGGTCCTATTCTAATATCGTTTGTCGTTACTAAAAGTGGCATCGTGATTATGCTAGATTCAGAGGGCGATATTTTTATTCATCTCCCATCGCCTCCGGGTTCATTCTCAGACACTAGCACTAAATTAGTTTCGTCATTTCTACCATGTATCGGTGGTAGTTTTAGCTCTCAGTTTGATATTCAGCCATGCACTCTTTGCCCTCAGGGCTCCAGTACATTTGGTTTAACTGGTCAATCATCCTGCATATTGTGTGAAAGTGATGCTTTTTGTTCACTGGGCTCAGCCTTCGGAAATATTAGTTCATCTTCTTTACTCCTCACAAGTGTCAATCAAGCAAGTGCTTACCCTTTGTCGCCAAAGTCAGTTCGTTTTGACAATATTCTAATGGAAAACATGTTTGTTATTTCTGGCTCTTCATCAAATTATTGTGTAGTCGTGTCACCTTTCTTCTGGTCATTGATGATCATGTTATTAGGTATAGTCGTCGCACTTGTCATTATTTTTTTCAAATACTGCATCACTCATCCTCAAGGAAAGAAAATACTCCAGCGTATTAAACGTTTCTTCGTGCACACAGATCTTGTTGGCGAAGGTGAATTGTGGATAGGTGGTATAGTTAGTTTTTCAATTCTTTTCATCTCCATATCTGCCTACGTATTCAGCAATACCTATTATCAGCGTTATCCCATTGAAAATCCCAACGGCAGTGTTGCATTTGCTTGTGAATCTACTTTGACAAATGCTCAGTTCAGCTCTGGTTTGATGTCTCTCATGATTCCACCTAATGATGATGAATTACCCATATTTGAACTCCTCAATATGCAGCCATTTATACTGCATATTGACTTGGTCAATACACTCTATATGTGCACCGATGTGACTTTAACGCAAATAAAGGATAAAAAATTACCTCTGTCCATTTCATCATGTAGTAATAGTAACGGTAGCTTATCGCTTTCAGTTTTATTACCTTCGCATGGTGTGAATTTACATTTTCTGCTCGCTGGTATCAATACTATCGGTGGTATTCGTGTAGGCATTCAAGGACCGGGTGTTCAAAAGGAGAATGGCAGTCTCGAGGCTGAACACACACTTGCCGATCTCGACTTTGCTCAGTTTTTTTCCGTCGTCGGTCGTGTGCTCACACAACAGCCGTTATTCACTATGCAGCTTACCAAAGTGATTAATCGAACTTATCCACTTAATGAGTACAGTCAGACAAAATTGAGGGCTTTCTGGTTACCCTACATCTCTGCAGATGTTAACCAGATATTTGTTGAAGAAAACGAATACATATATGCAACGAGCTCGGATACAATTATTTCTCTTGTCGTAAATGAGACGCCATTTTATGTGTTAAACACACAAAAACCGATTGTAGACGAGGCTGAACTTGTTTTCACAAACATTCTATTCACTATCATGTGTGTCGAGATGTTCGGTCTCATTTTTATCATCTTCAAACTTTTAGTTTTCCCGGTTTTCAGACATCTTTGGAAGTATTATTGGCAGTATATTATGGCAGAAAAGTCACCAATGAAAATTTTCGATCTACCACAAACAACCTTTTATCGCTTTTAATATTTTTTCTTAAACATTTACATTTTCTGTTCCTGTTGATTTGTATACATCTTTATTGATTTGTATACATCTTTATTGATTTGTATACATCTTTATTGATTTGTATACATCTTTATTGATTTGAAATAAATCGAACAGTGTAACAGATATTTTACAAAAAAACAAATTTTATGTAAGTCAAAGAAAGAATAGACAGTAAGAGTATTGCAAAAACACTAGTATTTTAAAACAAAATGAGTATAATACTCGTGATCAACGATGTCGATAACCTATAGATCGCCAAAACTTTGACGAAGAAAAAATCTTTTTTTTAAGTTTCTCTAGGTGACTACAGTCAAAATTTGTTTTTTTCCCTAGGTAAAAAATAACATAGTGCTCTATGTTCAGAATTGAATGCTGATTCTAGTTGCATAGTTTTTTTTTTTCAAAAATATTAAAAAATAGGAATGCCCTTATCGTGACTCGCCCTTTGGAAAAATAAATATCTATTGTGAAGGATATAATACTCCTGATGATTCATATATTCTGGTCGGATCAGTAGAATAAACAAATCTTCTATTAAAAATAAAGCCTCATATGACTCATGCATTCGTAGGTAAAATTTTTCTTTAAAAATATTTATTTTATTTATTTATTAATTTACAGGTTATTACCAGTAGAGATATTCATACGGGTGGTAGCATTACTCTCTGTGTTCTTTTATTTGTGTGCGTGTGATAATGAAGGAAGAACGAATCCTGTGAGCACTGATAGGATCAATCTTTCTTCGGTTTGCTTGTCCTGATAACTTATGTTTTTTGTGCTAGGATATAGTAAACCAATACATCGATTGATCCATAGCATTTTTTAGACTTATATATCGCCAACGATTTTTTCAATAAAACTCTTGAACTATTTTTATAGGTATTGTTTAATATTATCAATAAATAAATATAACAAACTGAATTCATATTATTATAATCATCTTTAAAGGACTATCAAATATTTGAGCTACATGGTTTTGCATGACAATAAACTATGGACGACGTCAATTCTTAATACACTATCCTTTATTTTTTTTGAACGACCAACGTCATCAAGATTCAACTTGAGTCACACATTATTTCACAACCAAGATTTCTTTTTTGTAGTTGCTTTAATTATATATATATGATTCCATATAGTCGAGTTTCGAAAAGAAAATACATATTGCCTTAAAAGGCACTGTTGAATGTCAGTAGCTTGTGTCTTTTCTCTGTTATTGTAATTTGAGAGTGATGTTGTTCATATTACTTGATCAAGCAGTAAAAAAAAACACTGCATACGAGCCAAAACCATGGAATATAAAACTTTGTTGTTGAAGCGCATAGACAACATTTTTGACTACGGCAGTCTTGCGCTAAGCATGTTCGATGTAATTAATAACATCGACAATAATACTTTCTAGAACGATTTTAAGAACACTATGAACCTCGTCATAGATCAATCCAGACACAAGTTTAAAAGCATTTCATCGAACAATACGACAAATAACTGATTGTATGATACTTAATAAGAGAGAAACAGACACGGTATTAAATAAATCATATTTAATGATTGCTAAATATACATTGATATTATCACATAAAACTTTGCGATGGCGTTGACACCACTTTTACCACGTCCAAAACTTGTTTTATGAATTTAGAATAGGGTGTGGGTGTGGCAGCTTGATAAAATGTGAAGACGAAAATAATGTAACCGAATATTCAACAGTGGTGTGTGGGTGTTGACGAATAGAAGATCCAAATCTACACCCACGTCGATCAATTGCCGCTTTATATCGACTATTGATAAATAAAAAACTTCTAGAAATTTTTATGGAAAAACCTTATGCTATTGTGATAGCTAAATTATCAATATTGAGTTTAGTATCAATGACTCAGAGAGAATCTATGAATTTATGTCTATCAAATAAAAAAGCATTTTGAACAATATTGTGTAAGTTTAGATCGATATCAACGCTTTAAACAAATAATTAACGATACGAATATGATTAACGGAGAAAATTCTTTGTTCATTACTTGGAATGATTTTTCATACAAACGATATCGATTAATTACTGATCATCAACCGGGTGGATGGAAGCCGTATGCATCCAAAAAAGATACTGAACTTTTCGAACGAGGCCAAATAGGAAATGATGAACTTAAAATCATACCGGTGACATTACAATCCCATCGATCATGGTATTTAGAAGAATGGTACTATTTTTTTCGGTTGCTAGAAAGTGATTTTGTTCAAATTGGCTGGGAAATAACTGGATTTAATTCGAGTATAACAATTGAAATTGCTAATGATAAATATTCGTGATCATATGACAAATTTCAACAAGTAATTTACAATGCTGAAGCAGATCCGTTTCGAGCCGAACATGCTCCTTGGAAAACGAATGATATTTGCGGTTGTGGTATTGAAATAGATGGTCCAAATACTCAAATTAATTTTTGGTTAATATGACATTTCTTAGAAACAATTTTTGAACATAATTGTGCTGTTGTCTCAAAATAATGCAATATGCTACCGACTGAATGATGTGGTGCAAGTTATTTTCCGGGTGTTAGTTTAAAAGTAAATGACATTTCAACGTTCAGTTCTTGTGCATTTATATTTAGTCCAGAGGATGTGCTTGAATGTTCATTATCATTAGGCTATAAACCATTGTTGGTACCACAATGTGTCAATTTGGTAGCTTATCTTTATATTGCTTATTTGATTAATGATAATGATCAAGGCAGTATTCATAAGATACGAAGTAATTGATCAACTATTTTTTTACGTGATTTTTTCAATAGCTAACATTTGGAAACTGAATCTAGATTTGAGAATCAACAATTAGCTTTGCCAAATGATAGGACTAGTTTATTACTGACCATCGATCATTGTGAATCATGGAAAATAAGTTTCGAATTTCAACTTTTAGACAAATTTGATAATCATGATTGTATAGTTTTAATATTTGATCCATTGGAAACATTTTTCATTCGTATACCAATGGGTAAAATCTACAATCAGACACAAATAGTCATTGCTTACTATTCAAACAAACAACAAAGGGTGTGGGTGTGTGAATGTGGAGTGTGGGAGTGGGTGTAGCAACAAAAGAACACTAACATCCGCATCCACACCGTAATACCGCACAGGCACACTTCACATTTGGATGGGGGTGAGGGCTAGTGAAAAAAGATCTATCAAATGCGCCCTCAGCCAGTCGCCCGCCCACTTGCCCTCATTCTCCCGCACCCATCCACCGTCAAGCCATTTAGTTCATTATGCACCAAAATACCCAAAAACTAGTTTAACGTGCGAAATAACATTTGCTCCGTGTCAGAAAGAAAAAAAAACAACAATAAAGTCAGCGTGCCAAAAAGAACCATATGAAGAACAATCAAATCTGATTTGGAATAGAAATCATATATAAAACGTGTTGCTCCGAATGTCACTGATGCACAAAAGTAGCGAAATGTTTCATTGGAACATAAGTGTGGAAAAATATCAGAAAAAATCTTATTTTTTAACCAACAGGCGGATGCAAGTGGCGCAGCTTTTCGGAAAACCATATTTCGTTCGGAAGTCATGATCTGGCATGACGTGTGTTATAAAGATGTCACTTCTCTTGTCGTTATCGAGAAAAGAACAATAGGTCACCAACGTGGTGCCATCGATAACGTTGGAAGGTAACCCACAATTAATGGGGCATGAATTTACATTTCAGCACAATGGTGCAACATTGTATACAGATCATTACACTCAAACATGGTCCAAAGATCACTTTTGAGATTTTTGGTCGAAATCACGTTGGCTACCAAATTCATTCAATCTTAATTCCTGAACGAATGAACTGGGACAAGATCACAAACAACAGAAGCCTGCGGACTATCAGCATATTTCTATCGAATATTATAAAATAATTGTGAATACAACTTTTAAATAAAATATGCAGTTTTGTAGTGCGAAAAATTTTCTATCAAATGAGTACAGAACGAATTTCTGAAAGTGTATCTAAATGTCCTCAAAAAGTTAAATAAATAATTTTATATAATTCATAAAGAGAGAGTGACGATTGAGGAATCTTTAAGAGCACAATTCAGTTTTTTCCTTTGTTATTAGATTTTATTTATATATCGGGAGTATCAGTCTCTTCCATGCACAATTTCTTTATCAATAAATGTTTATGTTTCTCTTGCCAAATGTTAAATCTAGCAAGTTTGATGACCAATTTTGATTAACCGTTTATCAGTGCTTCGTAATGCTACAAAATAAAAAGATGTGCAAGTCATCATATGAGTCATCTTTTATGTTTTTTCTCTTCTGTTACAGGTATAAGGGGTACATATTTTTACATACATCACTCCTGGATTTATATCTCTTTGCTTCATTCGTATTTCTTCTTCTTCTTATTTTCTCTTTTTTTCTTATCTAAGTGATGTATTTATTCGAGTCAAGGTTCTCATTACAAGGACTGGAAAACAACGAATAAAAAAACGTTTCTCTTATTTTCTAATGAGACAATAATGCTTTGAAACTAAGTAAATAGTATTATCATGCTGTTTTGTAGATGTATATATAATAGTTAAGCATGGCCATAAATATCTACCACTATTTATTGGAAATATAAAAATGTGGCGGCATTGGTTTGTGAGATTAAAAAATGAAATCATCGAAATCATTTTAACAATCAAGCAAATGATATATAGACCTGTAATGATGATTCTACATTGCCTTTGGCTGATTATTACATTACAAGAGAAAACTTGGATTCAAAATGCTAAAAAATTAGCCGAAGAAGATAGATTGAATAATGATGATATTGGACCAAATGAACAAATTCAAGGAACGGCTCTAGCAGTAAGTTAGAATTAAATCATTTCTCAATATCTTGACTAAATTAGTTTGCCCTGCTGATGAGCCATAAAACACATGATTTTTTTTGTATTTCCACCAAGTGAAAACTATGCAAACAAATTCGGAATATTATTTGTGAGTCTTTGACAACTGTCTATACATTTATTTGGACAGCCTGCAGGAGGTACCTGGATTAAATATACTTTCACGTAACTTTCGTTTCGTATGATTATCTTATAAGCATGGTTGAATCACCACATATATTGTAAAGACAACAGCGATGATATTCTTCATGTTTCTTCTCGTTAAATCGAAGAATTTCCTATTTTGATAGAAAAGGATTCGACAGATGAGATAATCAATGATATGAAGAAGTACGGATATGTAATTGTCTAAGTTTCGAATAGATTCCAAGTGTTAACTGTCAATTTCTACAACTAATATATATGCCAGCGTCCAAACTGAGATTACATCCAATCTCATATTGGCCTAGGTGAATGTTGGATCCGAGATTGAACGCGTCCAATCTCGGATTGACGCAATTCTGTTCACTAAAAAATCAATTACTCTTTAGATAGACATTGGATTCGAACTATTTTTTTAAATTATGTTCGCACAATGCCGTTTAAAGTACTACAAGCATTTAGGAAGAAGCTAAATTTAGATTCAAAAATTTAATAAAAATTTTTCATCAAAGTTGTTGTTTTCTAGAAATTTATTCATAACTCCTAAAATTTTACTAAAATCTACCAAATGACAATTGCGCCAAATAAATAGGCATTGTGTGAACATAACTCCAAAAAACAATTCGAATCCAACGTCTATCTAAAGAGTAATTGATATTTTAGTGAACAGAATTGCGTCAATCCGAGATTGGACACGTCCAATGTCGGATCGGACATTCGCCTAGACCAATCTGAGATTGGACGTAATCTCAGTTTGGACGCTGACATATATATATATATCAATTGAAGTATCTTTATAAGTTGTTTACGATAGAATGACATATGAATAATAACAGAACAGTACGATAAAAAAAAAGGAAACCCATAAAAAATGATTTTTTTTTATACAGAATGAGCATTCAAAAAATAATTGACCTTTGTAACTATCTTATAATACTATGTGTAGAGCGAAAGTAAGATAAAAATTGAACAAGCTAATTGATTAAAGAGTTACAACTTGTCTAAATTTGAATATTTACAACGTAAATTCTGTTATAAAAAAATTAAGAATATATTACGCTTACTATGATAATATTTTGTATGTGTCAGTTTTACTCATACCGTACACCGTTATAGTTGTTGCACTACGAATTCTACAGATTTCCAAACTTCGTTAAATGTTTATTGAAAACAATGGCGAACTCTACACCTTCCTGAATTCTATGCAATTGCTATTGAAGAGACTGGCGAACTCTATATCTTTTTAAATACAGGTAGATCTCCATATGAAAAGCTAGCGTTCTCTACAAATTGCAGCAAGATAGCTAATTTTCAAAACTTTCGTTTGACAATTTAAAAAACTTTTCATTAAAATTTGCATATAGCAATCTTCTTTAATCCGAGCACATTGTAATCCCAAGTTGAAACTTAAAATATTTGAATTTTCGTTTCTCATAAAATATTGAATTCTCNGCGAACCAATGTTTGTTTTGCTTAAGAATGGATAAATTAGTTTTTGTTGTGAATATAATTAAATTTTTGTCTTCGTGCAAGATGAAATCTTCATCACGATATGTCTTTCTTAATCTTTCTGATAAACGACCATTGACATCGACTGTTTCAACAGTACGTTGTCGTCTAATCATTAGCATAAGTGCTTCATTTCTTGGAAGTTCACCAGCAGCACTTAATGGATATGTACGTAAGGCGGAATGAATAATTGAACTGGTTGGTTCATCTGTTATCACAGTACGAGCTTTAATATCATTTCTTAATTGAATAGCTGAAACACGATCAGGTTGTGGAGCATGGGAATGGGTTGTTGGTTGGGAGAGAATTGCATCCATTGATAAATTAGTATGACAACGAGCTTAATTGATGAATGATTTTCATTTGAATTAATTAATTGATGTTCAAAGCGAACTTACCTTTACAATCTCGATTCTGACATCGAAGAATTAATTTCCTCGTTGTTGTACGTTCTACAGTATAGATATAACCATCATGAAGCATCATTGGTTTTCCTTTTACAGAAAGGAGTTTCTCGATTCGAGACATTTTGCTTGAAAAATAGTGTGCTGTGAAAGTTGAAATTGAGAAGTGAAATGTTTCTTTTTTTATCTGACTTGGTCCCATAATTAAGGATATTGGGTCAGTGTTATCTTTAGTTTAGATTATGCTGAAATTCATTAGCCGAGTAAAAAATTTATTTATTCATCGCTCGCTTTAGCTCTATCACGATTGTATTGGAATAGTATTTTTTTTTGTTGGTCCGTTTTTCCAATTAATCATCTCGCGCTATTGTACATATCTCTTGTAATTTTTCATTTATTTTATGTTATTTCCATTGGTTATAAAAAAAAAGAATTGATTAAGAGCGATGCAGCAAGTAGACAGAAACGAACAGAACGAAAAACAAATTCTGCGACGAATTGTCGTGCGACGAAGTGTACTAGTGCCGACAGATGCCTCCGCTTGGTTACACAGCGCTTAAAAATAAAGAAAGAGCAAATACTTCGACGAGATGGTTAAGAAAAATCGAGTGCGACTGTTTGCAGAAGTGGGGAAAATTGAAGAAATAAACACATTCACACCATCCAGGTTGAAAAATCGTAAGCAAGGGAAGATATTACATTTGCTAAATAAATAAGTCTTAAAAAATCACACAAGTAATAAACGCCAATTATTGGCAGCCTACATAACTGAAATCTTCTTGTGTGGTGGATGTGGGTGTGCGGGTGGCTGTGGGGTGGGTAAGTAAGACTTCAAAAACTTCGCACCCACACCGACACCCACATCCACATCCACTCCATCCACACCCACACCCTAAAATGGTGGGTTATATCCCAAATACCGGGTCCACCATCACATCTCGGGTGTAACCCTTGTCCAGATTTGCTACACAATTTGGATTAACTTTCTAATTGAGTGTGTTAGATGTAGAATTTAAATCTCTATCCGATGGTACTATTTCCAAGTGGTGTTATCGGCGAAAAACGAGGAGTTGTGCCCCAAATACAGGATGGGTGTGGGTGTGTAAAGTTACCACGAAACCATTAAATCATTATTAATGGTGCGGGTGGATGTGGGTGTGGGTGTAGGTGTGAGCGTACCTGGTTTATACTGACAGCCACATCGCGATCGACGCACACCCATACCCCACTCCCACACTCAGATCCACATCCACACCCTCAGCACATTTAGAAAAGTAAGTTAACTCATTGATCATATAAAAAGAACAATAAAATTAACTTAAATAAAGATATCCATTTTATTGCTGTATTAATATCATATTAAGAATAAAAGTAAATGGATAATGGTATAACATAAACCGAAATATCACGTCATATCGAAATTTTGCCTGTTTTTTACTTTTTATTGTTATGCAATTGTCCATTTACTTCTATTTTTAATATGATATTTATACAGCAATAAAATGGATGTCTTTATTCAAGTTAATTTTATTGTTCTTTTTATATGATCAATGAGTTAACTTACTTTTCTAAATGTGCTGAGACTGTGGATCTGGGTGTGGGAGTGGGGTATGGGCGTGCGTCGGTGGCGATGTGGTTGTCAGTATAAACCAGGTACGCTCACACCCACATCCACACCCTTCTTCTCAACTTAAACTAATGACAAAAATATTTCTTGAGCAAGTTTGAGATGATGTACGATAATCAATCTGTATATATAATTGTTTTACTGATGTATTTCATCATTACTAGAAAGTTATTTATTGTTATGAAATATAGTCAAATAAAAAGTAGAATATGACAGTAAACGGAAAAAAGAATACCATGCATAAGAGTAGTAAATCACTAAACATAAACAGTGAAGGATGTATTTTTTTTATTTCTGTCATTGATGATGTTCTACGTTTTCTTATTGGTTTTTAACTATGACTTCAATTTCAACAAGTTGAATAGCCGAGTCTTCCCATGATCGTTTATTAACGAATGAAATCAGGTAATTGGCAGGTTTATCAGTATAAAATTGCCACATCCAGCATCCTAAATAAACTTTATCATTAGATTACTTTCACTTACATTGTTAACATCCATGCCATCCTTTATAGTTCGTTCTGCTATATACACACTGTAGAGCTGTACTATCAGAATTTTATAAATTTAATCGTAGATACAATTAAACAATTTTCGCTTCTAATGACGATTAGGCAAACTTTGTAGGATCTAAACTATAATGTAAGACATTTAACTTTGAAATATTGCAGAATATTCTGTAATTGAACGAGTTATATAGATAACATGGATGTCACTGATTAATAAAAAATTTGTCTTGAATAATGTATGCGCATTCACTTACCCCCAACACCAGTCATGCCCGGAGGATACTTATTCACAATGTAGTCAGAATCAGCAGATTCAAGTTTACTTGGAGATACTTCCGTCCACATATAACCAGTAGTTGGATTGCCAGGAATTTGAACAAAGAATGTCGAATGTGAAGGGACGGAGATGGAGTGAGTCGGCTGATTGGGGTCTATCTCAAATGTGTTAAGGTTAGTTGCGATCCAATTAAATTTGGTAGAAATCCCAGTACAGCTTTGAGAAAAAGTAAAAAGAGACAAGAAGACAAATAATGGAAACAGGACCATGTTTAATATCTAGAGTATAAATGAATCAATACTAATATTCACAATACTGACTTGGCATCAAGCAATGCAGAAGAAAAATTACTGCTTGCTTTATGATCTTTTTGTTAATGTGCATCAAACTCACTGTGTTTAGATTCATCAACCAATAACACATTCACATAAAAGCCAAATGATCAATGAAAAATGCAATAAACCATCGGAGCAAACAAAAGCTTTTCTCTTTCATTGATGGCAAATTAGATTTAATATTTCAGAGAGGATCTGTGAAAAGATTACCATCAAAATGCACATAAAAACTCAGAGAAATTTTAAATCTCAATTTCTCTCGATCTTTTTATATTCTCACGAATGAGAAGTTTTTGGTAAAAAGATGAAATCTATAGAATGCATCTAGGAATGATGCATTAGTATTAGTATTCAAATTAATCCTTTCACGGCGATTCGATTTTCCGAGGAAAATAGCTTTGACATATTAATTTTCATGCGAGTCCACGCTCGATAAATGCACTCATTGATATTTTCAGTATGTGCAGCTATTTTTCTTTCTTTCTGTTGTTTGTATCATCACATAGGAGGTCTTCTTTCACGTCGAACTGAATAGTTACTCAAGTTTGTTTTTCTCTCTGTCACATGTATTATACAGTAGGAACGAAATAAAGAAACAAAATTTCAATTCTTTTCTTTTACATTCTTTTCGTAACATTATCTTTGACTTTGTTAGGTGATGTTATGACCTCTTTCTCATCCTCTCACACTACCATCGCTGTTATATGACATCATCACACATAGGTACATATTCTATGTTTCTTTACTTTCATTTTGTTGATATGTATGAAAAACACACACTATGTTTTTCTCTGTTCTTCGTATACGTTCAGGTTATCCAAGTGCATTTTCTCTTTTCTGTTCTATACTACTCTCTCTCTATATATATATCCCAATAAACTGAACTCACTTGCACTAATTACACACAAAACTTACATAAAAACAACTGAAATTTTGCGCTGATTTACATGTCGTCTGAAGAAACCGATGCAGAAGGCAGCGGTAACTCATTGAGTGATGTGAGTTCTTTGGATGATGATTCTTTTTAGAATGCAATTTGAATCGTCAAGTTCCGAGGAACAAGTTACGGATGATGATGTGAATTCACAAGTCTGGGGCAAAATAGAATCAGAATCGGATGCTGAATTCTCGGAGGATCATGGAATGGTCAATGAAGTACCGGCAAATTCGGAAGATACTACGATGAATCCAATCGATTGCTATCGATATTTCATCCCTGATGAGATTATTAGCCCCATGGTTCGTGAAACTAATCGATATGCAGAACAACACGTAGAAACCCATAAGCTTACCAAACGATCGAAAACTCTTCAGTGGAAACCAACTACTAATGAAGAAATGCCCAATTTTTTAGGAATTATTATTGAGATGTGATTGGTGCAAATGCCGGAAGTAGGTTACTACTGGAGCAGAAGTAAGTTGTTTGGATCTGAAGTCATTCAAAATACAATGTCGAGAGATAGATTTGAATTACTTCTTAAGTTTTATCATTTTTCGAACAACCAAGAAGAGCATGCAGACCAAGACAGACTATTTGAATTGAAACCACTTTTAGATTTATTGAAAGTCAGATTTCAGTCAATTTATATTCCTGATTCAATTATTTCTATCGACGAAACAATGATATCATGGAAAGGGAAACTTTTGTTCAAACAATATATTCCTGGAAAAGCGCACAAATATGGCGTAAAGATGCACAAGTTAGCGGCTACTAATGGATACATGCGGAATTTTATCGTTTATACTGGTAAGCAGGATCCAACGGCTGATCTTAGACACGCTCAAACTGTCGTAATCGATTTGGCAGATGGTCTTTTGGAATGTCATCGAACTGTAGTAGTTGACAACTTCTGTGCAAGTATGTCTCTTGCAAAAAGTTTATTGCGAAATGATACTTATCTTATTGGAACATTGAGAAGCAATCGTACTGGATCAGGGCATGAAGTAGTTCAGAAAAAGCTCAAGCGTTGTGAAGTTTATAGACTCCAGAGCAACAACGGTATAAAATTAATCAAGTGGAAAGATAAAAGAGATGTTTTGATGATATCCGCAAAGCTATCGCATTCAGCAACTTTGGTAGACACCGAAAAAACCAATAAAGCCAATGAACGCATCATGAAGTCACAAATTATCGTCGAGTATAATAAAGAAAAAGAAGGTATAGATTTATCTCACCAGTTATCAACATACTATACATGCCTCAGACGGTCCAAAAAAGTGGTATCAAAAAGTGGCATTTGAGATGATATTTGGAATCTCAATAGTAAATGCTTATTTGATTTACAAAGAAAATTATGATACAAGCCGTATGACGATGCTACAGTTTCGTGAAAGTCTTGTGCGATCTTTACTTTTTGGTATGCCATTCGAGAATCTAAAATTTGGTCCAAGAGAACGTTCAACAAACCAAACGAAGCGCGAACTTGCTGATTACAAGCTCGAAGTAAAGGAAGGATTTGACCGCGATGTTCGAAGACGCTGTGCTGGTTGTTACGAGAAAATCAGACAGCAATAATCAAGAGAAGCAAGTAATGCTGTAGCAAAGAAAATAAAAACATTCTGTTCTGATTGTAACAATTTTTTGGTCTTGATTGTTTTAACGAGAAACATCACGCTATGCAATAGAGGATTTTAAAAATAGCGAAGGCAGAGCAGATCACAGCTTACGTGTAACCTCCCGCCTAAGAATAAAAGAAAGGAAAGTGTTTTTCTATTAATTTTCTTGTTAAAATATAGTGGGGCCCATCGGTGGACCCCATCACCGCGAAAGGGTTAAATAATAATTAGTTTAGTGTTTGAGTGTTAGACGTAAAAAGCTAATTGGTTGTGAAAAACAGCATCCAAATGACATATGATGATCGTCAATAATAATAACCGCGCGTGTTTTTTCTTTTTTCTTCAGCCACCTGAAATTTTGCTTCGAAAATATATGAGTAGTCACAGAAAACGTTACAAATCTACTAAGTTTTGCACTAACACAGAACTCTGTACACTCTGATTCAGAAGATTCAAAAAATGCTTTAAATAGGCAAACGTTGCTATAAAAAATGTTTTTATGATCAGCCTATTATTAATTGTTCGTTATTCGAGTTATTTTTAATGAACAATAGATCCAATTATGAGAAAGTTCAATTTCACTTCTTGATATTTTCTGGTTCTGGAAGAGTAAATGTTGGATTCGAAACTCAAACAGTCAGAATATTGCTAACAGTAGTGTAGAATTCGAAGATTTGGCTCAAGTGAAAACAAAGAGTTCACATAAATCCGAGAAAATCAGCACATGTACAAACGTTCTAATGAGTTCAACTGTTCTAACGTTCAAATGAATCTAAATCTTCAATCTTTCATGTATTCACCCATGTCCTCTCGCTTTCTACCTTACTTCACATTGCCTTCATGGTTTCTGCTCAGTCGTCTTTGTACCTCTCTCTTCTTCACTTGAACTTATATAAAATCATTTGACACTTGAACAGTAGAAACTCATTTGAATGTTCGAACAACATTTATTTGTTTAAGATGCTATTTGTTTATATGAGCATATTCAATCAATTGAGCCAACACTTCAGGTTTTACACATACGATTGCTAAAAAAAACGTAAGAAACTGTCGATAAATGAAAAACATAACATTTATAGAAAGTTTCGATAAGACTCCTGTGGACTCATTGCACCAGTTTGCTAATCTAACAACTATTTAATTTCTATGATATTAACGACATGATAAAGACGTCTCTGACATCTGTATTCACTTATAACGAAACCTATGGACATGCCCACCTCCAATTCTAATGATTTATACATGATTTGATAGACTATACCAAGACAGTAAATAGCCTAAAGAGATTTTTTCCCATGTCGCATTTTCAAAATGTTATCGCACTTTTTGTTATTAGCGCCTTTGAAGTGCCGTAAAATTAAAAATTCAATATCTCTACCAAAATAGGGTAGAAAAAGCGAAAGTGTTTTGCAGAGATAATCCTATGACTCTACTACATATGTAGAAAATTTTAGGTGTCTATCAATTATTTGAGTTAACTTATAGAATCTTCTTTATCTTTGAAGGAGAGTCGATGTATTTTCTGAACTAGATTTTTTGCTCATTACTTTCTTTTCATACTTGCACATGTTTTCACGTTACTTACATACATCGATTTTCCCCTGTAATCAGAAATATTTTGATTAGGCAAAACGTGATAGTACTGTACTTTTTTTTACCACTTGATGGTGCAATAATAAATACAGAAAAATACGTGAAAAGAGCGAGAGAAACCGTTAATTCGAAAAGGAGTATATGTAAGTGAAATGTATGTCTCGTGTTAGCACGCCATGATCACAAACAATGTATTGTTCGTTTTCTTTTCTATTCTTCCCTCTTGGTCTACTAACCTATTACCTTAGTTCGTTTTCACAGTGCCCACAATTGCGGAGCTGGCTGGGGACAGAAGAAGTGGTTACGAGATCTCTACTCTCTTTTCGCTGCCATTATTTGATCTCTCTCTCTCTTTCTCTTTCGCTCTGACTATATGTACGGCGTATTTCTTTTCCAATATTATTTGCAGCGATGAATTACGAAATTACAAGTGTGAACAGAAAGTAATGAGCAAAAAATCTAGTTCAGAAAATACATCGACTCTCCTTCAAAAATAAAGAAGATTCTATAAGTTAACTCAAATAATTGATAGACACCTACAATTTTCTACATATGTAGTAGAGTCATAGGATTATCTCTAGAATTGGAGGTAAACATGTTCATAGGTCCCTTCGTCAATGAGAAAAGGCTGAATATTTGGGATGAGCCGAACAGGTTTGTTATCAGGTTGACCCGTTTTGATTCAACTCGTCCGATCTGTGACATAGCTCGTGATCCGTGTGTGGATCAGATATCTGATAGATCACAAGTACCTGGATTGAGTATACATCTTCGCATGTATCCACTGATTCAATTCATTCACAAGTTTCGCTTTTCATTTCTTTAAGCTCGTTTCATCCTTCATTCTTTCGTTCTACATATAGTTACATTTACTAATCTCGTTCCTCTGTTCCTGTATTTTTGTAAAAGTTTTAATTAACACTTGTATTTTTCCCTAGATGGATGAATTCTCTCATCCATTTGTCTTTGCTACATATTCATCCTAATCGTTCATCTAGAGAAGTAAAAGTGGATCTTAATGAATTCGAAATCCACCAGGGTCCAAAACTTCGGGACTCGTCATTTTCCACTTTCATTCATGTACTTATTTTCAAGGTCGTACATAGATATGCATCTTTTCCAATTCTGTTGTGTTTTGAAGGTGTATCTGCAATAGTAGCAGTGTATATGAATGAGTTGCACTAAAATTCGAAAGTAAAGTATAACAACTTCTGAATAGTAAATTGTATTCTACTCTATGCATGTGTTACACAGAAAAAGTCTCCCAAAACTTTATTGTATATTCCCGAAGATAGATGAAACTTCAGCAAAAATGTACCATTTTTGATGGAAAAGTCAGCAATAATTCACTAGAAGTCTACGTTGTAAAAACTACGTACATTGTATCTATTTGCAATAAAGTTAGAATGATTTTGCATAGAGAAACAATTCGAATCCTATAAAATACTATAGATGTTGACGCACTTTTAGTAGAAATAACATTGGAAAAGGATTCTTCTACAGTTCATCGTGTAACATTCAGTGTTTGTAAAACTGACAGTTAGTTACAATAATGCATGTGGAAGATATTGCTGTCGACCGTGGAAAAAAATAGTTTTTTGAAGATTTCGGTCGACGGGAAAATCCATTAATACATGGGGCACTACAAAAGTTTTTTCGTCCGGCTCTCTTAAAAGACTTGACCAAGAACTAACTATAACGCTATAATACCCAGAGATATTTAGGATTATGTGCAAAATTTCAGACTTCTAAGTCTTGTGCTTTGTTGTAGTCTATCATTTCTGTTGAACTAGTGAGGCAGGTTACATGGTCGCGTTCTGTGGATCAGCTTTCAATCCTTTAATAAGATGTGTTAGAAAAACAAACTACATCATAAGATGCAGCGTGCAAAGCTCTACAATTTACAGCAGACCACTTTTTTTTTATAGTTGCACGTTTTGCTATCAAAACGAAGAAAATTTTTACCAACCACATTTCGACCTTACAACAACTATTTTTTATACACAGCATGAGCTTTTTTTTCTTATTTCATCTTTTTACCACCGAATGTTTTCGTAAATAAAAACAAAATATGTCGCAAGGTGCAGCATGAAAAGTCATACAATCTGTATAAGTAATAAAAATGTGAAACAGGAACAAAGAAATTTCTCGTTCGTGTTATTTTTTCGCAGCGTCGAAATTTGATCGCTCAAAACTTTGTCCATTTTCAGAGCAAAATGTGCCACTATCAAAAAAGCGGTCTTATGTAAATTGTAGAGCTTTGCACGCTACATCTTGTGATATCTTTTGTTTTTTAAGACAACTTATCAAAAGATTGAAAAATGATACACAAAACGCGACCATTAAATCCCTTATGTGCTATATTAGAAATCGCGTATACCTTGGACAAAAGAAACTATATGACAGACTACAACAAAGCACAAGACTTATAAGTCTAAAATTTTGCACATAATCCTAAATATCTCTGGGCATTATAACGGTATAGTTAGTTCTTGGTCAAGCTTTTAAGAGAGTTGGGCGAAAAAACTTTTGTAGTGCCCTATGTAAATAGAACATCGATAAAAAACAGCTATTGTCGAGAATAAACGATAATATAAGTACTCACCTATTAAATTTCTTTCGATTTCTAACAGTATTTACTGCGATGCGAGCATTTTATCTTGCTGATATTCATCTAAATCGTGTGTGTATATTGTAGCTGTTGGCTTTAAGAGTAGGAGTCTGTGAAGCTTTGCACATGACTTCATCGCAAACGAGATGTAAATTTTTCAAAAGATAATATTTGGATGATTGTGAGAAAATGGGCAACTGTTGATATTGTTTTCACAACATAGACGAATGTTCTCCTCCTCACACTTATCTTTAAGATACTAATGTATTTGAATTAAAAAGTAATGAAGGTTGTTTCTTGGATTTAAATTTAAATGTAATAACTACATATAATGACGGATATATTTTTCCAAGTCGCTCTTGTGTTTTTACAAATATTTTGGATAAAAAAAAGATGTGAGCAATGACTTTCTGTTCGTCTGTGCTTTATCAAATATTCGTCGGAAATGTACACAACAGGAAATGTTATAGAACAGATTCGAAGTAACAAGAAAACTACCTTACATGTGTTGCTAAGTCAATATTCGACATCGTCAGTTTCTTTTTTTTCTTTCTTTACCTTCATATTTTTGAGAACAGAGGGTGTGGGTGCGTGTCTTCATTTACTACACACCCGCACCCACATCCTAGTTAGGAAAAGAACTTTCTTTTTAGAAAAACGAGAGCAAGTTTGTTTTCTTCTTTAATTTTAAGATCATTTTCAAGTTTTTATATAATTTTATAAATTTAACAATTAATAAAAAATATAATAAATAATTAATAACAAAGCGATGCGTTTCGAATTCTTCTTCAGGCTACGTGACTAACTATCCAGGATGGCTGTCGTTTCATCTAGTCTAGTTCCTTGATTTGTTCTCATTCAGTGGGAACTATTCTCTTTGTTGGGCGAGAAATATTCTATTAAAGGTGCTGTTAACTCTCTATTTGCTGTCTATTGTCTGTCTGATATACTAACTCCAGGGAGGATGGGTGTGTGTGGATGTGGGGCAGAAGAATCTCTCAAACTCACACCTACGCTTAATTGAAAAATTTTAATCTTATGCACAAAATGATTTGCATCCTCAATTCTTTATATGTACAGATTGCCGAATTGGTTGCGCTTTTAAATCGTAGAAGTGGAGATTTAGACTCAGTCACTTTACAATTTTCAAAGGTATTCTCTTTATATGAAAATTTATAATGCCTAGTTTATCTTATAAATAGTAAGAAAAAAATATCAGCACTAATTTGATTCTTTCTTTTTTTTTCTGAAATTAAATCCAGTTTGTTCCGTTAAGTGTATGTTCGCTTGTTGCTGATGAAGCTGGAATGATATATTATTAGCTCCGAATGTGATACCTGTTAAAGTCAATTAATGGTTTGAGGTAAACAGAAGATTGAAAAACTCGAAAGAGTACATGAATGACTCACGCATAAGGTTACAAATAAAAATGATTGTTATGAATCATTACAATTTATCATGGTTCGAACAATTTTGCAGAATTCTGAAATATCAACAGTTTCTATGTAGGGTAAAAATATGAATCCTCAAATATTTTGCTGACTTTATGAGTCACCGAACATTCAAACGAATTCATTAAATGACTCAACGTTCTTTTATATTGTGGTTTAACCTTTTCATTATTGTTACTTTTCTCTATTCATCTTGAAATTTATTGTCAAAAAAAAAAGGAAAACTCAGGCGATGCAAAACCACACCAGAACATATTGAATATATTTCGCTGAAAAAATTACTCAGCCAGCAATGACGACAATCGCAACACCACAACTATTTAGAAATATTTGCTTTGCACTCGATGATTTCCTCGATTGAAGATATTGTTTCAGATGTTAATCAGATGAGAGGTCACTAGGACTACTAATTTTATTTCACTGTATGTTTCGACCATTTCGATCCATAATGATACTTCTCCGTGTGACTGCTGCATATGGCCAGCATATACTTTGAAGATCACAATAATCAGCCTCATTGGTGGACAACGATTTCTCGAGAATACTTGATAGTTGTCTAACACTGTGTCCTGATCGTTGGCCATCATCATCTGCCGCATTTTTTTGTAGTGCACCTTCCTCCCATTTCATTATATTATTTTTACAATAATGAGATACATAATCCGAATGGTTGTTATTCATGATTACGTGTTGAGGGCTGCATAATTTATCGGAAGGAGTTCGTTGTTTATGAGCATGTGCTACTTCTATTTCCTTAAAATTATCATTTGGATATCGTTTTACTTCATGTTTGTCTGAGTTATCAGCGAAGAAAGGTTCATATTCGTTGTTTGTTAAACCTATACAAGAAATATGCCGATCAGATGTAACTCTACCAATAGTTGCCGCAATTTATTTTTGGGTGATTTATCAGGAATTTTCAATAAGTTCGTAAGTATTTTGGGGGAAAACCGTCACAGAATTGCTCAATACATATAAAATGTGAGTGTTTGGTGCGGATTAGAACGTGCGTCTGGGTGTGTGGTGTGACTGTATCAGCACATCATCAAAATTAATCAAGTCGAAATATACAAGAAACTCATTAGAAAAAATAAGTTCTGATAGTCCTTCACGAATGGAATGGAGCTTCTAATGCAAGTATTTATTCTCTGAAGAATTGAAGAAAAAAGACTTATCTCATATGACGATATGGTTAATGACTTTTCAATTCATATGTGATTGTATAAGAAGACTTACGTGCAGTTATCATCTGAATTCTGACGCTCAGTGTTATGGAATTTCGATGCTTTTTCAAATGTAATGGTGAATTCTTAAGTAATATATTTAATTGTTCTAGTTCATGTTTCCATGTTTTCATGCATTTGTTCATAGAGTTAATTTTGTTAGATTTCCGACAAAATTTATCTCTTAGAGGATTCGATGGCGGCTCTTTTCTGAAGAAATGCTGAATATCATGAGACAATGATATTTGTTTGGCTTCCTTTGCTACTAGTGGAGTTTTAACGACTAAGCAACGTACCAATTCGTCGACGTTTTCTATTGATGCATATTGCTGTGTCTGATACAGATCATTATTCTGCTCAATTATAAGGTGTTACAACTGTTGACTGAGTTCTAAACGATGTTGCGCATAATTCTCATCACAATAAAACATCTGTCGACATCTTACATAGGTCGCTGTGTCGGTTTTTTTACAACATTTGATGAAACAGCCTTCGCTCTTTGCTTCTATCATCATGTGAATATATGAATGTCGAGTTTATTAAAGAATAAAGCTAAAAAAAAATATGTGAAAGAACGAAAAGCATCTCAATTACATCGTATCCACAAAGATTACTTAACGACAGGTCAGCATGGTTGATAAAATGTTATATGCCACTATGAAGAACGAAAACGATAACGGTAACGACAGAAAGCAACTGTGAGTAGAAGAAAGAATGCAGGTAATCAAGCTGGTTTTTTTATTTCTTAACTTCCACGAACAATAATGAATCATGTTGGTGCAATTCTATCAGACAACTATTTTGCTATGCAACCGAAATTTCAAAAAAGCATCACAGTTGTGGGTGTGGGGCTTGGGTGGAGTGTAGATGTGGGTGTGCGTGTGAGTGTGGGTGCGACTTATGGGTATTTTGTGTTCTCCGACGCAGACTCACACAGCCACACTGCACACCCATACCCACCCACACCCACACCCACACCCATACCCGTACCCACCACATCCATACCCGTACCCACCACACCCACACCCACACCCACACCCACACCCACACACCCACCCACACCCACACCCCACACTTAATAACCACATCCACACCCCACACTTAATAACCACATCCACACCCACATCCTTAAATGTGAGTAATTAATATGTCATGAGTAAATGTAATGATAAGTATTAATTATTTTCGTCAATAGAAAATCGATAAAGTAAATTATGTAATAAAGATGTTATTATTAACAATAATAAAATATTTCGATTATGTTCATTAGAACGAATATCGACGAAACTAAAATAACGTATCCATCAGATGATTCTCTTGATGATGAAGTAGTGGAGGTGGTAGTCGTCGTGGTAGAGGTTGTGGAGCTGGTAGAAGTTGTAGTCTCATCAATATTTCGACCAACGATATGCACAACAAGTTCATGTGTTGATAATAAATTATATAGAGTATCTCGAGCAGTAACACGTATTGCAGTATTACTGTCATTTAAAGATGGATTCTGCCAATAAAATATTGCTGTTTCATTATCAAAAGTAGCAGAAAATGGTCCTCGAATTAGATTATAAACTATATTTGAAGTATATTGACTAACGGCTGTAAAATTGATAATCATAGGAGTTGATTCATTAATAATAATAATAAGTGGTAAATCTAAATTGAATTCAGGTGGATTACGTTGATCAATAGAAACTTGAATAATATTATCAGCTGCTATTGCTGATGCTTGTCCGAGAGAAGTATTATTTGTAACTGCAATATCATAATAACATGTTTGTTGAGCAATTGTCCATATTGATCGATTACTTGATGACGATTCAATATTACATGCTGCAAGTATTGAATTTACTTGAGATACTGAAGGTTCAGGATATGTAAATAATGGAATATATAAAAGATTTTGTTGAGCATAATTTGCTGCCGAATCACCTGTTTCATAATGGAAAAGTGAATCATTTGGATTAATGGCCCATGTTTGTCCAAATTGTCGATGAATTTGTTCAATTGTAAGTGTATTAGAAAGACCAATAATAGTTCCATTTTGTGCTCGAAGATCATTAGTTGGGTCGTTGTCATATAAACCAAGTAAACCAAAAGTACGATTTTGATATAAACCAGATACTGATATATCTATATTAAGTACAAGAGCATTTGTTATTAAAATAGGTGTTATTCGAATACTAACACCAATAAACCATGAAAGTATAAGAATACCATTTGTTCGATTTCGTTCTAAAGTCATTTCAGGAAAAAATAATATAAGAGAATTATTTGTAGAAATTGTATCATCATTTATTGAATCAAGATCAAGTGTTTCATTACCTCGTCGAATAATCAACATTTCTCGTCTTGAAATAGTTATGCTCATATTTTGTGCAAGGAAATCGTTCGATTTAGCTGCAATACCACGAATTACAGTAGCACCATTATTTAATGAATCAAATGGTGTTGCGCGTATTTGAACATTAAACACAAAATTTTCTATAGATGAATTAAAGGCAGTATTGTTTGATGTTGAACTATTAGTGATAGCTAAATATGTATATTCACCATATCCATTGAATGTGTATGTTGAACCATCAAGAGTAGTAAAATGTGGATCACCCCATGTTCCACCCCATGAATGCGGTGAATTACTACCTCGACGATGTGGTCGAAAATTAAAATATCTTGAACAAGTTTCATCATTTGAAGTTAAAAGACAACAGGCAAGAAATGGTAATGTATCACTGAAGAAATGAAGAATAGGATATGATGATGGTTGATAACGATCATCTGTTCCTCCACCTGTTCCACGCGTTATCAATTGGCCAATTGCATCATAACAACATTCAGTAGCAGCATGCCATTGATTTGTTGAACGCGATAAATAACAAGCAATAGCTGATAATTCATCATGATCCGGTCGTCCACGATGAAGACGACAATTAATTGATGAATTATAACTATTTTCCATACACAATGGATCAGGTTCATAACAACAACGGGCAACACGTGCTTGAGACAATGTTAATGGACAAGGTAATAAATTGTCATTCCATGTTAATGGTGATGCTTGTGTTGATGCCCATGTATTACAATAATCTGTTGTATTTATTCTACTGTCATGTAACACGATTAATGCAGAATTAAGACCAGCATAAGTTATATTTGTTAATATATCTCTTGCTATAATACGAAAAAATACCGTTGGAAGACTATTATTACTAATTGATGGAATAGTAACTGATGTTGATTGAAAACCTAACTGAGGTATAAGATTTGTTTGAAGTACAATACAAGTATTTTTAATAATTCCACCGTTTGATTCATTTAATGCAATACTACATATTTGTATTTCAAGTCGTATTGTATCATTTCGCCAATTATTCGTTGTTGTTTCTGATAAATACCATCCAAGAATAACTTCATCATCTATGCTTACAATAATTTCTGCACGANGATAGAATTTTTGATTTGAAAAAGTTTGCTAGCGCTTAGTTTGGATTCTTGTGGTTGGATGAATGTCGTTCTTTTTTAATGATTGTCAGTCGACATAGTCTGTTGCTTTTTTTCTCATTATACTATTCACTTATACCCTTGAAAAAATTTGACTTACTTTGTTTTACTGCTGTAGTGTTGTAGATTATGTAGCAATGAAGGACAACTCTGGGTGGAAGTGGGGGTGGGAGCGTGACTGTAGATTAAGAGAAGACTCATACTGATCCCCACTCACATCCGCACCATGCACTGAAAAAAATTGATACCATGCGGAACCATTTTCGGAACGAATTCAAAACCATCAAAAACGTTCCCTAAAAACCCAACATAGTCTCAAAATGATTATCAAGAGCCCAGGAAACGTTTTCAAAGGTTTCGTAGAAAACCTAAGAATCCTCAAAAAGGTTCCAATTTCGTTCCACATCCGACATCGACTGGCTCCAATATTTACGTTGGATTATTATGATTGATTATTGCAATGCCTGAATAGTATTTCGTTTGCTCAATATTTTCTAAGCGTAAATAAATTGGAGGATACTTGTCGACGAAATCGACCAAGTAAGCTAGAAGTAATATCATGAAATGGAGTGTGCATTTTTTTTATTCAAAAGCGCACAGTAAATTTTAAATAACTAGAATCTGTCAGTAATCAAAATCAATAACTTAAAATAGCGATTCATCAGAAATGTGAATCAATGATCAAAGATTCTATTCAACAAAAATACTGGAGCAAAAAATCTTCGACATATGGAAACTCAGATTCAATGTGTGCTTCAATGTTAATTTCTACTACACTTGAAGTTAATACTGTGAAAGTATGATATTTTTTTGACATCAACCGATTAATTTTGTGCTTTTTGTTTGCAGAAATAATATTTATTCTATTCTGTAAAGTCCTGAAACACAATTTTCTTTTGCAAATAGACATGCGCATAGAAAATATGGAGATACATTTTATGTACGGATTCATTTTTAAATACGTATCTCTACATATTGTCAATAAAAAAACGATTTCTATTGTAAAAAACGAAATCTGCAAATATGACTAGTTCTACAAATAATAATATCCTGATGGTGAGTCCAGTGGATGCAAATGCGTACAAAACTGACCCTTCACATCGACATGCAAGATCGATCATTCGAGAATTCGGTTTGAATACATCGACTCACGGTATTCCAGGTATTGCACGTAGTCAGAGCCTACCAAATCGAATATTTTGGACGATGTCTACACTTACGTTTACTGGTGTTATGGCTTATTTTATCACAGAATCGATTCTAAATTTCTTGGAATACCCCACTCAGACATTAGTTTCGGTCATAGATGATTCGACTCAAAAATTTCCAGCTGTTTCAATTTGTAATTATTCTCCACTTCGATACGATCTGTTCGTCAAGGATTTTTTGAATTATACCCATGGTCTAAATCTTACCGACACAAATAATTATACATTAACGGAAAAACAATTCATGCAAATTGAAGATTTTTTTCACTACAAACTGAACAGGAATGAATCAATGAATGGTTACTTTTTCACATTGGAAAACATGCTGATTACGTGTAAATTTAATCAAATAAATTGCTACAAAGAAGACTTTGTCTACTTCTTAGATGCACGCTATGGCAACTGTTATACGTTTAATGCCAAAGCGAATCATATTCGAAATGGTACTTTACATAGCTTAGCTGAAAATGGAGATTGGGGAATTTTAGAACTTGAGTTATACGTTCATAGTCATCAGTACGTTCCGTACTGGTCTTCTGGTATGTTCAGAGATGTATTTTACGCATAATATCAAATTTGTTGTTGTTTTCCTTGTTCTAACTCATTTATTTTAGCTATCGGACTCCTCGTTCAAATTCATGGTAATGAACAAATTCCTCTAATGCATTGGAAAGGACACTATATCATGCCAGGACGACGGCAACGAATACTTTTTAGCAGAAGAACACAGTATCGTCTGGCGAAACCTTATTCTGATTGTGATACAAAAGTTCCGCTTATGTTGCAAGTTGCATTTGATCACTTTGGTAATTCCAGTTACACTTACGAACAATACATATGTGCGATCGTCTGTATACAAGTATATATGTAAGTTTCTTTATTTTCTAATTAAAAAAGACTCTAATAGAAAAACAAAACAGAATGTTTACTATTGACGCATGAAGCTCAATAGTAGTCGATGAAATACAATTGCTTGTAGCATACTATGATAATCTGAAGTGTATCTTTGTACTCTTTTTTTTTCTAGTTACACGAAGTGCGGTTGCATTGATCCGAATGAATGGACGAGTCGGTACCTTGCTATACCAGGCATCAATAAGATAATAACTGCACCAGTATGTAGTAAAGGTAGTACATGCTATAGAACAGAGCTTGATCGCATAAACAATGACTACGACGTATGGCAACAAAATTGTCCAATGTGCACGCTTGAATGTACAACTACCAATTTTCTAACAAAAATATCATCCCTCTTAGCTCCAACGCAATGGCTTCTGGACGATCTTAAACCTAAAATTGAATCACTTTCCGTACCATTGCCTGCTAACTGGTCAAATACGTGGCAATCCGAAATCTCTCAAAATTACGTTGCATTAGAGGTAGTCAGCGAATCTGCTCGAATGGAGATACTCACTGATACAGCATCGATCGGTCCCGTAGATCTTTTGTCAAATATTGGTGGTCAAACAGGTTTATGGATTGGTATAAGTTTTCTATCGTTGATGGAAATCACTGAAATGCTTTATCGTCTTATTCGATGCAAACTGTATAAACTTCGAAAATAAAATGTTCAGTGTTCAACAACGTCATATCGAACTGAAACACGCCTATTTTAACTTAATTTACGCTAATGAATAAAATTCTTAAACGCTTTTAGTCTTGAGAAAATCGATGTTATTTTTCTATTCTAATGTTGACTCAAAACATATGTAGTATGTCTCAAATAGAGGTCTGTCGTAAGTAAGTGTCTCAGAATTAATGACTCTCTCAATGTTTTCCGTACAACTCTGTCGCTTCTCATTTTCTGATCTTGTTTCAAGATGTTCTCAACAGCTACAAACGATATAGTTTTCAAGGTTGACAATGATTGTTTCTTAATGCTTTCGTCAATTCATGCAAGTAAAAGCTAAGGAATTCACATACTTTGAAGCTCTGAAAATGCGCTACCAATGACCGATAATTGAGGAAAATCAATCGAGAAGCAGATCAACCTATATTCATGCTGAATACAAATCAATCTGCTCAACTCAACTCTTGCTTTTCAGCAATCGATCTTCGAATTGAAATCGAAGAATTAGAATAATAATTGATTATGCTTGAGAAGACTAAAAAGAAGTAATGAATTGTTCAAAAATCGCCGACGCGTTTCATATTTATTTCTTTTGAAAGAAAATCACTCATCAGGGCATTGTATTACAATGCAAAGCACAGAAAAATTGAAAACAAAAGAGAAGAGTAGAAGCTATAGGAACTAGTGATAATGAGGTAAAGCAATAGTGATTGAATGTTGATCGAAGCTTGTTCGATACAATTATGAATGAAAAAGAGAGATTGACTCGTGCAGATAGACACATTGAGACAAGAAATGTTTGTCGTTCGGCTTCACTGAGTCCATTTGTCGATAGAAGTGAATCCTGAAGAGTTGGGACCTATCGATTTTCTGGATCTACTTGAAAACATTCCTATTCGTCAAATTTGCTTGATCCTAATAATCGAAGAGGTCAATTCTTCGTATAGATACCTGTATTATATAACTATAGAAGTCTTTGATTATTATTTTTCAATAAATTTGATGGTATCTCGATATTGAAGTTGAGAATAGTCATCAACATATTGACAATGTTCGAATCGTGAGAGATACGATTGAAGACTGCTGAGCAGATTTTTTGCAAATACAATTAAATCTGACTGGAATAACGATGATGAATTACATGGTGTTGATGATTCAGTCATTGCCGAACATCAATGATTATGGTGTTGATGAGAAGGTAAATAATCATTTCAGTACTTCAGCTTTTGTTCAGAACATTCTCGGAGCATGTGCTGGTTTGATTAACGCCACACGCTTATTATTTGATTTATGATTATTAATGCATCAACAAGAAATAATAATAAGATAACATTATCAAATCTATAAAACATGTCCTATTATGTATTAATTGTCATTGTAAATTATCGGCATTTCCAGTTTTCAGTATTGGTTGAATATCATTTATAGGAGAGTCGGCAAAGTATTTTTGTCAAAGACTATGAAATCGAAGTAAAAATGTTCTCATATTGGAGCAGTGAGTAGAATGAACAAATAAAGTCTTCTTGTAATCCACTGGAGGTTTTTCTCGATTTTGATGAGAATTTCATTATAATTTTGACCTGATATTTGTTCATTAATTTTGAATTTTTACAACACTGAATCAAATTATTTTTGAAATAAATCGTTAGGATATTTGTTCAATATTATGGCCATTCGTAAAGACTCTCGTTCATTAATAAACAATAGAAATGAAGAACAATATCGAATTGCTCGAAGTAATTAACATAACAAATGGAATATTTTTCTTCATATACATAGAATGAATGCTATTGAATGGTAAGTAATAGGATTCGTAAGATGGTTTATGATAAACTCTAGTGAATAAATTTCCGTTGTTATTTTCCATGTGTAAATCGAGAAAATTTGTGGACGAACCAATATGAGCACTTAATTTTGTTTTCATTCATTTTATTCCATCTTTCAACTTCTTTCAGTAAATGGCGTTCAGGCCAATTTGGGTGTGGGTGTATTGAAGATAGTACCCACACCCACAATCACACCCTATTCATCGATTGTTATATGAAATTATTTCCATACGCAATAAAAAAACCTAGCTGTTATTCAATGAACTTGTTTAGCAAAGAGCAATGTTTTTTTAAAGGACAAGATCGGCATAATCGATTTATAACCAATCGATAAGCATCAGTTATTCTCGTTTGATCAGTTGTCATATCTACAGACAGTTTTTGAGTTTTCTTTTCAAATCCGTTGTTTATTTATTTTAAGCTTTATGAATGAATATAGATATATATATTCACAAAGAGAAATCTAGTTCCTTTTATTTCATAAAGAAAAGAGAGACATGAGAAACAGACATATGGAAATCAATAATGATATTTTGTAGAATAATCTTTTGGTGAAAACTAAACCACGACCTTCCTGAGCTCTACGATAAACTGTTTCGACAATATCAAAAAATTCTTGTGTATCTTCTAAGGCCGAACTTATTTTATTGTTGTTGCCTGTACCAAGATCGATCATAATATGTTGATTGCAATAGAAAAACATAACTGTACACGGATCATATAATTCATATCTAGAAAAAAAGGTAAAAGGAATTAAGTGAAATATGATTCAATAAAAAATAGAGAGAATTAGTGTACAGCTAAATACTAGAAAATTTTTGCTGCATTGGACTTATCTTAACTTGATAATCACTATACAAACCTGCAAAGAAAACTTTCTCATAGTTTAAATGAATACCTTCAAAGGGTGCAATGAAATAGTTCTGTTTTTTATCATACTTTGTATTGTGCTGAAAACTCAGTAAAATGAGCATGAGTCGAGAAAAAACGCTTAAGACCTCATAACCAAAAGAGAGAAGTCCTTCAAATGTTAAATCGCTTTTCGACTGAAAAGATGTTCATCTTATGAATAATAGAAACGTCTAACATAATTAGGTTTTCCAGATTGTCGTTGTTGAGATATTTATCTACGGAAGTCTACAGCTCACCTAATAATGTTTCAATATCTCAAGAGCGAAGGCTCGGAAAACCAAATCATATTAGATTTTTCTATCACACTTCACATGAATATCGTATTAGTTCAAAAGTTATTTAACATTTGGAGAAATTCCCTTCTCAAAGCATCTCAAGAAAATTTTTCTTCTTCAAGCAATCTCAATCTATAAATTTTTCATCATTAAGAATAAACTAGAGACTAACTGCTTCTTTCTTCGAACCTACCCACTCAGATCAGTTTCTTACATTCGACTTCCACTTTTATTTTTGCCCAATCAAGTAAGAATATTGATATAGTCCAAGAACTTAATTCACTGAGTTTTGAAGATATTGATTTAAATAAAAATAAATAGAAAATACAACTACTTCTAATGATATACGTACCCAAGTAGATCCTGAAAAGCCAACGATGGGTACGACGAGTGGTTGAAACTTGAATATACATTTTTTTTCTCATTCTGTTCGAATTTCCACCACCTCGGTGGCTATCGGATCTCAAGCCCTTGGAAGGATTTTTCCATCGCACATTTATTTTTGACTACTCGAAGACAAGAGCCCCATAGGAAAGATAGTTTCGATGGTTCGTTTTAACTTTAACTGCTGAAAACGTCTCAGAAATTCAGTTTTTGAATGATGTTTTTTACTCTTATTACATGATCCATTTGGAGAATTTTGGTTTTCTACAGGTGCTTTCACGTAGTTTGATCGTTTAAACAATATTATTTATCATTTACAACTAGAACAACGATAGAAATATCTTTACAGCCCTGAGAAAAAAAATTATCATAATGAATTTATTTTCATAACAGCCCAATTTTTCTGAGCTCTTGACTAACTCTGATTTTCAGTTACTCATTGACAAAGAAAGTTGATGGAATCATTTAAAACTATCGGTTTATTTTTTAGTCCTCGAAGTTACTGATATAGTTGAATATTATAAACTTAATAAGGATAGATAAGTCAAGTTTGTCTAATTTTAGTTTCAATATATTTTTTGTTACTTTTTTTACATAATCTAATTAATTGTAATGCAATGAAACTGATGACAAATAAAATTGCTTTTATTTAACATTAACAATAGCTATACATATGCCACGAGTTGCTTTTTCAAAAAAACTAATTAAATTTGTATTTAACGCAAATAGAATAATAGTTAAACATATTTCATGATGACACTTAGATTTATCTAGAATTAAAATGTTATATTTAGTTCATCTGATCTATGCAAGCTTTCCATCCGTAAGTACATGTGTTCGAATCTTCATTTCTGCAAAAATATCTGATAGGTATCTAGTGCTCGAAAAAAATCAGATGCAGAGAGCGAATTTGTTTTGAAATTATAGAAAAAACGTTCGACTGCTCGGAATATCGACCCCTCGCGATCCCTGCGGATCGGACCCATCGATGGGCATCGAAGTACTATCTCGACACGTCAGAGTGCCATTTTCCGATAGGTCGAGGGGACGGCGATAGGTGAACAATTCTTAATTTCATTAATCTATCGGATGGTTCAGATCAATACTTCGAAATACCCATCGCATGACTACTTGGGTATAAACTTACATTTTATTAAAATCCTGTGTTTCAGTAATATCAACTAAATAAATAACAGGAAAAAATTTTAATTATTTTAGAAACTTTATATAAAACTTAATCCATTTTCATATATGACGGATCCCAATCATGTTCAAAACGAATGACAACAACTTGATCTTCTTTCAATAAAATGGCTTGATCAACTTGCCAGCCATTATGTAAATGTGGTAACATACACGACAGCATAAATATTTATCTATAAAATACTAAAATTTGATTTATTTTTTGTATTGGCATGATTTTTTTTCTTATATTTATCATCGATTTCATATATCACAAATAAAAATGCATAGAAAAACAAGCAAACAAACAAACAAAACACAAGAAAGCCACAAAGTTTATTCATTCAAAAAACATACAATTACTAAACAACTCATTCCTGTGTTTTGATTTTGCTTTTTTTTCTCTCCTATAACAGCTAGCTAGAAAAGAACCACAAAGGAATGTGGGTGCAGGTGTGAGTATGTGGATGTGGGTAGTGGNGGGGGGGGGGGGGGGGGGGGGGGGGGGGGGGGGGGGGTGGTGGGGGGGGAGTGAGTGTGGGTGTAGGTGCGGGTATGTGGGTGTGTGGATCTTCTCTGCCGCTGGAATTCACACCCATACCCACACCCTGTACGAAAAAGAGATGTTTTATTCTTTGACAGAGTAATATCTTTATATACATTACAATCACTTAGGATAAACAAAATTGTAAGCAACAGTTCGAAGATTTTTGGGACACGAAAAAGTTTGTCTCGCAGATCTCTACGATGTAGATATAATGATTTGATCTTGTCATGCTTAGCAAGTCTATGCAAAAGCGGAAGAACTCGCAACGCTCTACAATATTTCTGAATCTTTCAATGAAATACATTTCGACGAAGGGGCATACAACCGTTTTTCGTTCGATGAGATGCTATTAATTGGTTTTTTTTACTATTGATGTGTTGCAAATGGGTTATTGAATGATAATATGAATAAAGTTCACGAAATATATCAAATATGATTAAAATGAAAACGGAATGATTTATGAACTATGGCTCTGTACATTAATGGATAAATATATTTTGAAATACATATGTAATGCATTCGTGCACACAAATATGTGTTTAGTTTTTTCAGCATCACATTATGAAACGTGACGAAAGGCAAAGAAAAAGAGAAACAACATTGAAAGAACGAAATACTTGCGATGACGAATGCATTAATGAAAAGAAATAGTTTACCAATAAGAATATCATGTTTTTTATTGACTCACATAAGTCTACGTCGACGAGAAAAAAAACAGGTAATTTTGTCAACGATATACATAAAGGATAGAAACAAATATTCGAACATTCCAGTATCACTTCGTATGTAAGTATTTTTGCTTTTCAAAATTACTTGGCTAGACATCAATGAATTCTTTATTATGATACAAGTAAGGTACATGTTCTATTTTCAAAAATACCGATAAAATAACAAATTCAAAAAGACTTTTTTCTGTGATAAGAAAATGGGCAAACATCTAGTATAACAGCAGCGCACAGTAGTCATTGTTATATTTTATCACCAATATCATTTAAAATAGTATTGATGTATTTGTCCTTCTGAAAAATTAATAGGAGTCAATTTACCAAGTTGTTTTCGAAAATGAGACACAGAATATCTTTTATACAGTTATGTCAAAATTTAGATTTACAATACTATAGCGTTTCCGTAGCTGCATTGAAGAATGTACGATCATATCTTATTTTACCATAGTATTCGATACAGTTGAAATTTCCATTAAATTCAAAAAAGTCACAACCCAACGACAGTGTTTTGTATTCTTTATGCTTTTTCCCAGACACTTGAAAAATTCATGTATAAACGATTTAATTTTTAAAAAAATCAGTGGAAGAAAATTTCTAGTAATGTCCGTCAAAAGTATAATGCTAATAGTATTTAAAAGATCATCGATCAATTTAGTTTCGAAGACGATTTATTTTTGACACTATATTTTGAAATATTGAAAACTGAATAATTACTTACTTCTATATCTCACATATGTTCCCTTCGCTACTAATCTTCATAAAGTATTGTTTAATAAGCAAATCTTTTTCTGAAACTTTCAAAAATTGACAGATATGAAATACTATTGAAATTTCTATGCTAACTATAATCTCTAGGTTTCTTGTATCTAGTTTCAGAAGTGATACTCTAGGATAGACAGTTATTGCATTAAGAGTTTGCTTGTAATACGATCATTGGCTATTTATAAATAACTGCTATTTTCTTTTTCGTATTTATGTGTATTGGTAACTATTTTCTCATCTGATTAGCAAATTTAATAATAGATATAGCCAACATTGGCATAGTTGTTAAGATATATTAATGGTACAGTTCGAAGAAATAGTATATTTCCATTGTAATTGTTTTTGTTACTGGAGATCCTCTTTGATGGCAATCAATTTTTATTTTCAGATCAATTAACTATCTCAGAAAAAGAATGGAACCTACCGAGTATAACCAAAATGATCAGGGTTTTCCGACTAACGACAATACAATACATATGTTGGATCAAGAAATAGATCAGCCAAGTCAATCTATGATATTGAATAATGATGAACAACAATATTCACAAGGAGATTGTTTAGGTAATTAAAATTTAGATGACAGTAATCATAAATCTATTTGTATGATTGATTTTAGAACATGAAACTTTCAGTGTAAATAAATCAGTCAATAACATCAATGAAGGTTCTCTACAAAGTGCATTGCTCGATGTACCAGTGTTGCCTAGTAGCTTTGATAATTTACCATCTACTATATTTACTTCTTTATCTTACAACACCGTTGAAACAATTATAACTTTTGTTCCGTCGGAATCATGCACATCATCAAGCAAAGAAAAAGATCAAAAACAAAGTAAGAATATTTTTAAAGTATTGCATCAGTATAATCCTGATTCTTTTATCTACTGTTCAAAATTGGATTTCTGCTTTTTTTGAAACAAAGATGAAATTCAAATTTGGAAGTATACTGCTTGGAGATAGACATATTCATACGATGAATGATCATAATAAATTATATATAATAAAACATACGAGAAAATCACTAGATAACATATAATTGACTTCCTATAAATCAGATATAAATTCTATTTTATTAAATTTTAGAAAAGAATTTTCTTGGTTTTCATATTAAAATCGAAGAAGAACCGAAACAGAATATTTTCGAGTAAGATATATGAATAGGAATGAATGGATTTTTACTTACATATTTAATAGAGATGTGCCTAAAGATTCAACAACATTAATATTTCAAAATTTATCAACCGAAGTTCACGTAAATGAGTTCAATATTGCTCGATATCTTGGTTGCGGAAAATATGGTTCAGTAGATGCTGTAAAAATTATTAGATCATCTTATGAAATCGATCTTGCCGTTAAAGTATGTAAAAATAAGATAAAATTCATTTTGTTTTTGGTTTGAAAATCAACTAAAATACTTTTTTTCTTTAAATTTTTTGTAGCGAATTCCACTCATAACAAAAACTGAAGAATCTTCTGTTATACAAACAGAATTGAGCATAATAAAAGAAATCATGAATTCAAGCACTTGTCCATATCTGATTGATTATTACGGATATCTGATTGATACTGTAAGTAAAGTTCTTTTTTTATTGTTACATTATTATGAATAATTTATGAATAATTTTTTTCTTTTTCATTGTTTTTAAGACACATAGCGAATTATGTATTTGTATGCAATTAATGAATTCAACAATGAGAAAATTTTATGAAACGATGCATTCATATAAAATTGTTTGCAAAAATATTGACCTTTTTATTGCTCGTTTAATTCATAATGAAAGATATGAAATGAAGTAATTTTTATTTTAAAATTTTGTTTTTTTTCATAGGTTGTTTCAGCACTTGAATTCTTATCAGAGAAAAATTATTTTCATCGTGATATTAAACCAGAAAATATTTTGGTTAATACTCAAGTTATTTTCAAACTGAGTGACTATGGAATCTGCTGTAAAATAGATGAAATTTATTCAGATAAATATCATCTTATGGGAACAATTCATTATTTATCGCCAGAACTACTTGATATGCCACCCGATTATTGTTCGAAGCAAAGTGAATTATGGGCATTAGGAATTAGTTTAATTGAAATTATTAATGGTCAACATCCATATATGGGTTCGGACATTTTGGATCACTGGATATTATTTCAAAGGTTTAATCCAACAATTTCTAATCGAAATTTTTCAAAAAATATTGAAGATTTGATTTTATCTTTGTAAGTTACTTTATTTTGAAGTTTGATTTAGATTATTAGAATTTTTAATTTTCATTAGAGTGAAAAAGAATGTTCAATGTCGACTTGATTCTTACAGTAAAATTCTTAGCATGCCATTTATTCAAAACATACCAAAAGAATCAACGATCGATGAAATAAAATTTATCGAATCAGTAATAGAAATTATTCAAGAGTTACCAGTTGAAGCCAGTGAATATTAATTGATAAATGACACTAATCGATGGCTTTTTTTTAAATTCTATTCATTGTTAACATTTGTCTTTTAACAGAAATTAAAATTATTTGCCTAGTCCAATTTAATGTATTTACATAGCAAATAAACAATGGGTTAGTATAAATGATTTCATCAATACCATTTTGTACTTATTTGAGTCTAAGGCCACTAATTATCATATATCTCGAAATTTCGATAGGAATTTCTCGTTTCTTTATACGTGTCATTTGTTTTTACAATACGATTCAAATCCGTTATAAAAATATAATAAAATCATTTGTGTGATTTAGGAAATTGTGTGTTATCTATACCGATTATACATTCTGGAAATAGATCTTCGTACATATTATGATTAACTATAAATGTGTATCTAAATTGTCTTAATAAATNGAATAATGACTTATTTTTTATTCCAAGTCATTTTTCTATAAAAATTCTTTCGACTATTTATTTGACTTAGGATACTTATGCTGGGACTTTTCGAGATAATATCTTTCAAGACTATACGAAAATCTACCTTACAATATTTCATTAAAATCCTGAAGAAAAAAACGTTTTTGAGTGCCTCATATGTTTTTTTAAAATAATTCAATTTAAGTGTCTTCAGGATAAATAATAATTTTTTTATTTCTATCATCACTTTGATAGTACAATGAATGAATAAAAAATACAAAAAAAAAAGAACAAAGAAAAAAAAAATATTTAAAATGATGCCAGTTTGACCAATGTTGTACCTTTACTACATTAGAATGTTAGGGCATCAAACCTAAAAGATATAAATAATTATATTACAGATTTTTTAAAAATATCTAATCATAACACTTACAGTTTTATTATTGATGAGCATTAAAATAATTTACTTTCTATACGCTTTACACATTTTTTTTGTACTTTATTAAAACATGACCTACTTAAATTAAAGTTAAAATTTAATTTTTCTAAAAATATATTTACTTTTTGCTTTTGTATTTTCTTTTATGTTCATTAATCTTTTTTAAGAGTGCTTCGCTTTTTTCATATTTCATCTCAATTAAATTGTATAATTCATCATTAATAGCTTTTAACTCATTAGTAATTACTTGTAATTTTGAGTTAGTTTCATCAATTTCACGATCATATTGGCTTATCACTTCTTGTCTTTCTTGTTGTAATTGTAGAATATAATCCGGCAATACATCATCATTTATATCATCATTAATCGACAAGGTACTATGATCATCAGATTGATTACTATCAAGTACAACATCATGACCTAATGAAAAAATGTCCTTTACTACTACATTATTATGTTGTAATTATTCTATTTCAGGTAAAATGCAATTAATTTGTAAATAATCATGATTTAGTGAAATATTATCATCACCAAATTGATTTCTATCTATTAAAACTTCATTACATAGTAACAGATTATCATTCTTTAATGCATGATTGGATGATGAGATGTAATGATTTGATAATTGATTAACAAATGGTAAAGTATTACTTAAATAATTATTATCAATCGATGATTGCAATTGATTATTATCAAACAAATCATATGTTGTAATTTTCAATTGAATATTCGATTGATTATCATCAGTTTTGTTTTTTGTTGATAAAGTATCTTCGTCAATATTTAATATAAAGAAAAAAAAATCAATATATTATTTGAAAAAAAAATTCTAATTTTATATTTTAACGTAGGATATCTTGAAGCTTGATTCGAGTATTCCGTAACTGGATTTGTCTGTAGGTTATACCAAAACCTGCCAACGATATACCAAGATAGATCTTGACGAGTTCTATCCATTCCACTATTTACTTTTTTCCCATCCCCCTCCCTTCGTGGAAAAAAAGTTAAAAAAACTAACGAAAAATCACGAAAAAAGCAAGCATTTTTTGTAAACCGCACCTGAATTCGCCTGTAGGTTACACCAAAATTCGATAAGGGTATACCAAGGTAGAACTCGTCGAGCTGTATCGAATGGACACCTTCTTGACTCGATTTCACCTTTGGATCCTTCCATAAAAGGCAAATCCCCGTCAGAATCCGGATTTTCCAGGTATTTCGCTCCTGGATTCGTCTACAGGTTATACCAAACTCCATTGATGGTATACCAAGATAGAACTCGTCGCGATCTATCGCAGGAACATCTTTTCAGCTCAATTCGACATTCGGATCCTCTCCGAAAGGGCAAATCTTTATATCTATCGAGAATCCATTAAAGAATATCGTTTCTTTTTTACTAGATTATAAACAATACGCGAAAAAATATGTATAATATTATTTTATTTTATCAGAAAGTCTTGCATCTATAGTCCATTTGTAATGGTCACTAACATTTTGTTTTTTTCATATTTCTTTCTTTCATATATTAAGCCACAACGATATCAGTAAGATAGCGACATCATTTTATTTATCCTTCCTGGTTTTCATGTGTCAAACATGCACACGTGAAGGAAGAGAAAAAGAAATCATTGGTGAATAAGATCTATTCAAAGCAGAGAGAACGCGAAGCAAGAAAAGAACGAATTTTTTCAGTATCGAGATTCTCGTCCACCTATTAGTCATCAAGTAGATATCGAAAGGAAAGAAAATTTTTTCATTAGTTTCTTCCATTGGATCAATACCGAGAGAGCAAGGAGAGATGGAGCAACATACATATGTTTTTCATGCATTTTATTTTAGATTTTTTTTTTTCTTATTTGCACATGTCACATATTATTGTGGAATCGTTCAATGCTTAAATTTGTTTTTAAATTATTTTAAAATGAATTTTTTTTTTATTTGTATTATATTTAAAACTTCACAATATTTTCCCGAAAGATTTAGAATTTTTTTTGTTCATATTACCTCATGACTTCAAAAGTAAAATTATCTTAATTTTTAAAAATCGTTTAAATAGCAAGGAAATTTTAAAATAATTAAAAAAAAATTCTATCTATTATCTGGTATTAAAAACGTAGAAATATCGAATTAAAAATATGTTTGATGTAAACACACGAAATGCATATCCATCTCGCTCCATCTTTCATTCATTTTTTCCTATTGGTCGAGTGATACAATCCAATGAATTTTTTTCCTTTCTTCTCCATGGATATTTAGATGACGAATGGGGCACAGGGTATGACGAAAACAGAAAATTTCTTTTTTTTTCTTTTGTCGTTCTAATACGTTCGTATTCACCAGTGAATTCTATCTCTTCCACTACGTTTAAGTACACAAGGGTCAAAGGAAGTGAACCAAAATTCACATCAACCAAAATACAGTCCACAGTCCATAAAATATCTATATGATAATATACATCAAAGAAAGTTAGTGATAGGTGGCGCTCTGTGTGTGAACATCACTTGCATTAGAATGAATATGATATTCTGAATTCATTTGTTTATCACGAATACGCGCAAGAAGTTAACACAAACTCATTTCAGTAGGAGTTTTTAAACCAAATGAATTAAGATATAAGTAAATTAAAGCGCAATCGTTCGTTCGACTGCGTGTGCTCTCTTATAAAAAGTNAGCTGATAAAATAGATAAAGTATACTACGATAAATTTGGACTTTAGAGAGTATTTTGATGCATGTTCGTTAACAGAAATAGCTTTCGACCTTAGTAAAAAGTGCCTGATTTACAGAAAAAAACACTTGTATGGTCATTTTTTTGAAACAAAGATGAGAAAACTCACCAAAATCTAGGCCGACCGGTAAAGAAATTTTTTTTTCTACCGGCCGGTAAGGAATCCTCTACCGGACCGGGCCGGCCGGTCTGCCGGTCCGGTTCCAACTCTGATTCGAGTGAAGAAAAATTAAGATGATCTACTTCGAGATGTTTTACATGAGTAAAATAATGTTCTGTCGTTAATAAAGAAGATTTACCCGAATGATATAAATTATCAATATAATCTATTTGAGAATTATTTTCTTCAATCGAATGTTGAGGAATAGTCCAAAGTTGTAGATTGTTATTCTGTTTTTTTGAATAACTAGTTCTATTAAATCTGACATCAATAGGATAATAGTAAAGAATAATATTATCATCATCAGTATAATTATGTGTTATAAAATAGATTTTATAATATTTCTTTTCAATCCAAAATGAATCTTCTAAAGATGATAACATATCGAAAATATTTTCGTCAGAAAGAAAAAGTCTACCAATTTTTCAAATAAATTTATTTAATAATGGTAATGATTTTTCAAATAACATTTTCCAAGTTGAAATATGAACGATATTGACCAGCTGTATAAATTATTTCTAATTTATGTAAATTGGGCATAATATTAAAATAATATACAAGTTGATCAAATGTTATTGAACTATAATCATTAATAAATTCAAATATTAATGTATGAAGTTTTGTTAATGATTTATAATTATATTGTTTATCATTTATTAATTCAGTTGAATTTGATAATTCTTGAATAATTCTTACATTTACATAAATTATATTAGTAGCACATTTTAATATCTCTTTGACATTATTCCATGTACAATCTCGTCCTTCAATAGTTAAATATTCAAGTTTAATTAAATTTAATGATGGAAAATAACAAAAAACTGGTTGAATATCAATGGAAAGAAAAAATCGTCGAATTTTTGTTAATGTCAACATAGCCAAAACAATACAATTAAATTCAAATAATAAACGAACATTTTTACCTTTGATTGATAATGTATGAATAGATGTTTTTAATATAGAATGAAGTTCTTGATCCATAATATCAACTGAATTAGCATCAAAATCTAAATGAAGTCGACGAAGTTGTTTGAATTGCTCAAATGATCGAAATGAACATAGAAATGAATGAATTTGACCAGGTGTATCACGTTCAGATAAAGTTAAACTTGTTATCATATTATGATTATTCGATAGAAGTTTCATACAAAAACTAAACTCTGACTTTCTAATACCAGTAAAATCGGAATAAAATCGTTTACATCGATTAATTAGATCATCAAAACGATTATTTAATTGATTAATCAATGAAATAAATATATCAACTCCATTAATATAATTTTCTATAAGATCAATCAATATTTCATTCGAGAGTGATTCAAGTTTCGTTACTAACATTATTTTATTGACAACTAAAACAATATCAAATTATAATCATGTCAATATATATATATGGGAGTGGCCAGTTAGTATGGTACCCCATTTTAATACATTCCTATTGTAAGGATAAAAACATACTATTGTTCGCGTCATATAAGAGAGGATCCTAGATAACCCTGAATTGGCCCAAATAACATCATGTTTTATCCATACAATAGTAGAGAAAAGCTACCAACTCACACGATAAGCTAGTAGCTTTTCTCTACTATTGTATGGATAAAACATGATGTTATTCGGGCCAATTCAGGGTTATCTAGGATCCTCTCTTATATGACCCGAACAATAGTATGTTTTTATTCTTACAATAGGAATGTATCAAAATGGGGTACCATACTAATTGGCCACCCCCATATATGTCCAATTTAAAATATATATGCACGTTAATAATCTGATAAATTATATTTATTCGATGAAATTATTATTCGAAGTTCAGTTCGTTTTTCTCATTGATAATATCAGAAGTTTTTCATTGTTATTTTTTTAATCTATTACGTCATTACGACGTTCTTAAATATGTTATATAGATTGCGCTAGTTATGTGTTAACTTAAAATTTATTTTCAAGAAAATATCAAATATTTCAAGAAATATATGTGAACGGATAATAAAAGTTTTCTTTATGTAACTTATATTTTCTTCAATGAGAAAAAATATGAACAGAAAATATTTTCTCTAAAAATTTCTATCCAATCAAATTTATTTATTTTATTCCGTCAGCTTCTTTTTTCGTAGGATAATATTTGTACAATGATGAGTCAATAGTTGAGTTTGATTCATTCCTATCAATGAGATATTGACTAACTAACACGAAGGAAAGATCGAAAATACTTTTTCGATTTTTTTTTTCTCATTTATAACCACGTAGGATATCTTGGAGCTGGATTCGAGTATTCCGTAACTGGATTCGTCTGTAGGTTATACCAAAATCTGCCAATGGTATACCAAGATAGATCTCGACGAGTTTTATCGATTCCACTATTTACTTTTTTCCCAGCCCCCTCCCTTCTTGGAAAAAAGTTCAAAAAACTAACAAAAAATCACGAAAAAAACAAGCATTTTTTGTAAACCGCACCTGGATTCGTCTACAGGTTATACCAAAATCCATTAATGGTATACCAAGGTAGAACTCGTCGAGCTCTATCGAATGGACACCTTTTTTTGACCCGATTCAACCTTTCGATCCCCTCCTAAAGGGCAAATCCTGGTCAGAATCCAGATTTTCAAGGTATTTCGCACCTGGATTTATGTACAGGTTATACCAAAATTCATTAAGGGTATACCAAGGGAGAACTCGTCGAGCTCTATCGAATGGACACCTTTTTTGATCCGATTCCACCGTTGGGTCCCCTCCTAAAGGGCAAATCCTGATCAGAATCCGGATTTTCCAGGTATTTCGCACCTGGATTCGTCTACACGTTATACCAATATCTAATAATGGTATACCAGGATAGAATTGGTCGCGATCTATCGAACGAACATCTTTTCAGCTCGATTCGACATTCCGATCCCCTCCGAAAGGGCAAATCATTATATCTATCGAGAATCCATTAAAGAACATCGTTTCTTTTTTTCACTAGATTATAAACAATAAGCGAGAAAATATATATAGTATTATTTTCTTTTATCAGAAAGTCTTGCATCTATACTCCATTTGTAATGGTCACTAATATTTTGTTTTTTTCATATATCTTTCTTTCATATATTAAGCCACAACGATATCAGTAAGGCCCCGAACAGACTGAAAAAAATAAAACAAATTAAGCAACGTGATTGGTCTATTTCGATTTAGATCGTCTTTTTGAGACGATTTATTCGTTAATTCAGTTTTAATTCACTTTGAATTATAGTATGCAGGCAGAGAAAGAAAAACATTATCAGTTAAGCGAATCAATATCAAATGCACTACGAGTGGCGACCTCTTAAAAAATTAATTAGGCCGAACTTTTGAGAAATACCAGTCGGTAGAGAAGAATTTTCTCTATCCATCTACGTTTTTAGTTTTTCCCAGAAAAGTGTCCCTTCCGAGATATAATCGGAACAATCTGACCAATCAAAACACATATCGCCTGTAATGGCTTCAGCATGAATAATAAGAATACAAGATGACAGCTTTGTATAAGAATAAATCATTCTACGATTTCTATCTTGTTAAATTCGAACGGTTTTGAGTGGCAATTTAATTTACACATTTCGAGCTATTTTTGGATTGTAACTATCGTTTTAATCAACAAATTTATTTGAAGTAATCTTTTTTTTAATTAACAAAAAACAACAAATAAATAAATAAATATCATTACAGAAAAAAAATACAAAAAAAAAATTATTTCTTCTCTTGACTGTGCTTCACTTTTGGTCCATAAGTTTTTCTAAAATGTGTTGCTGGTCGTACTCTGTATTTAGATGGTGGAAAAGGTGTTTTCTAAAATAGAAATCGAAAAGAGACAATATGATACGGAATACAAAGACGACTCTTACAAAATTTGTTGCATTCGGACTGCTTAGTAGTTGTGTTTTAGGAGTAGAATGAACCAATGGAGAAGAACATGGAGCCGAAATGTTGAAGATACTCTAAAAAAATGAAATTAGTCTTCATTCAACGACAGTCTTTAGTTCTTACCGAAGTTCCAGATGATGTTCGTTGTCGTTTAGGTGTACTGGTGAAATTCAATATGTTGTCGTCGTTCAAGTGATTAATCGAGTAATTATGATCACGAGTAATGTGGAAAGTTGGATCACATTGAGATGTAGTTGATGATGTATTGATAATAGAATGGTTGAGACTTAAATTGCCATTAATTTCATCATAGTTGTTAATATCAATATCTGACTCATCAGTCTGAAAGAAAGCAAAAAATAGACTTAATTACAAATTTATTTCGAAAAACGATGTGTTTACTTCATTATAAATATGGCTCGATTCTGACATTGACGATATACTATCATGATCTGTATCACTTAGAACAGATTCATCTGTCGAATAAAAATCATCACTTGTGCTGTGCATAGCTAAATCAGTTGAAGTTAACGATATGAAGTTCTTAATAAGAAAGAAAGCAAAAATTAAAGGATTTTTCGATGAATCTTTACATTTATTTCAGGACTTGGCTGGTTGATGCACGCATTAACATCACATTTGCAGTAAAAAGTACATGCAACATTATTCTTCCAACATCTGCATCTGTTACAGGTCGTTTTACAATTGCCACATGTTTCGAGTTGAGTATCCAGAGGTCGTTCAGGATTATCCGTCCACTTTATTTTCCATTCTCCATTAATATCAGCTTGTTCATAACCTGAATAAATTAATGGTGGTGCTATTGGATTTGGATCTAGACAATCCATCCATATTTTAATTTGTCGTGCAGCTCTCAAACAGTGCTGCTTAAATGCAGATCTTGATGGTGGTAAGTTTGAGGCGAAGCTGACACGTGTTCGATCCTTCATACCATATTCCGCCACTAAATAAATTTTAATAAAAAAAAGACTCTTCTTACGACCAAATAAAATAAATCAAATAATGTTTCAACTTACTAAGAGCCCGAAGTTCATTTAGTGAATTAGCTATTCGTCCAAGTGGATAACAATCAATGAGCAGTCGTTCACTTGCAACAATTGCTTCGTACGGTGGTGGAATAGAATTTAGTTCTATGATACACGAGTAACGATCAGGATCATCGAAAAACCGATTGAATATCTTTTCTTTTGTTACATTTCTGATGGTGGACGTGATACTACAGCCTGATAAAGCATTTAGAACAAGAAGAGATGTAGGATCAATAGATACACGACGAAGCCTGGCTACAATAGATTTAACATCAATAAATATATCATTTTGAGTTCGTGTATTTGTTGACTTTATAGCCAGATGCTGAAGAGTAATATTCGATGCAAGCGCAATACTTAATAGAATAACATCAACGCTAAAAAAAAGCAAAGCAACAATTCTTGTTTAAGTGTTACACATACATGAAGAGAGAATATATAAATGACCCACTCATTTGTGTTTATAATAACTGACTTTTGACATTGATCAAGACTAATGACGTTGCAATGTAATAAAAATCTCGTCCGAGATTCAGGATTATGCGATTCCAAAAGATAATCTGATTCGACAGCATGACCATACTGTAATTTCACTGCTGTTGAATCTGGACCACCAATCACAAGGACGCGACCATACGGTAAATATTTATTCAAATCCAGTTCCGTCCAACATTGACGAATACATTTGCCAAGTGAAACACGGTTTGAATGAACGAATTTTTTAAATGGCGATTCAACCAAATCATTACACCTTAATTCATACATATTTTCACCATCTTTTTCTTCATTTATATTAATGAATGGTTCCAATATTTTAGTGTCAAGGTTTTGAAATATCACGTCTATTCGATCCTAGAAAAAAAAATTAGATGTCATGTACGTAAAAGAATCAACTTACATGTATTTCAAATAAGTGCCGAATGTTGTTATTTAGTAGTTGAATAGCATATTCACGTATTGTTTTAACTTCAGACTTTGGTTTTGTTTCAAATAAACTATTACCATCTATCACAAGTGCGCTTTGATGAGTAGGTATTGGGTACGACGACGAAAAGGAAGCTGAAAAATTTTTTTTTAAGAATTCCATAGCTGTTACTTTTGTCTGTTGGTTCAATAAATCAGTATTGTGAGAATTGCAAAGAGATAATGGAATGGGGGAATATTCAAAACCAAAAAATTTAGATAATGGCTTTAGATTTCGTTGTTGTGCTATAATGATAGTTCGCCGCATTTCCTGATCGGCAACTTTCACCAGATGGCTATATTTTGTAATAATTTCAGCACCCATATGTCTTCTACTCGATCCACTTTTACTGTTTGATATATATGTACGAGCATTTTCCAGTTCTAACAATGAAAATACATTTATATTGTCTTATCTTACATTTAATCTCTTCTAGAATATTACTTAGTAAATGCATAGCTTTAAGTGGACTATCAACAGGGATAGTTTTAAGAACAAGTCGTTCATTGATGTAAGCTGATAAAGCATCTACACCTCGTTGATATAATGACGTAATATTTTTCACTATATCATCATGTATCACTAGACTTGAATGAATCTTATGGCATTTTGAATTTGTCTGTGTGAATAGATTTTCACCACGAAGTTTTTCTACTAACATTGACAAGTCTGTGTCATCGATAGCTTTTCGATTTGCTGTGCACTCGATATGAGAGTCGATGGAATTATCAGCTGTTTCTATTCCACATATTTCATGTAAACAGGAAGTGAGCAATGCTCGAAAGCCAAAGGAATGTATCCAAGTATCAATTGACTGCTCACTTTGTCGACCGTTAATGCCTCCTGAACCTTTCCCATGTTTGTTAATAGTACATTCAATCGTTTGGTCCAATGCAATGCCTGAATGCATTTCAATTTCGACTAGAAAAAAATTCAAAACTTACTAGAAAATCGACGATGAGATCTAGTTACTGCAAAAGATCGTGCCATGCGTGAAATCAAATAAGACGACGATGATTGCAAATCAAAAAGGTGTTGAGCGCATAATCTGCTGTAATATCTGTGGTTTGTTGAAAAAAATATCGGGGCAAATTCATACAATGCAGCGTTTCTTGCTGAAAAATTACATGTACGAATGGACACGTAAAATTGCATCAATGGTTGAAGAAGTCGTTCAAGTATGAAGAACCATAAACGAAAAGTGGAGTCTGTATTACTTGAATTGATACACCAAGTTTTAAGATATGTTAATAGGTTATTTTCTTCAATAGCTTCAAGTAACTGCGTAAACCATGCTTGACAAACATCATCCGCTGCAAATTCTGATGGTATTTGACTCATAATTGACTTTAAATTATTCGTACAATTTACAATCATAGATGATGTTGCAGTCTGATCGAAGAAAGCTTCTAACAAAAGTATATGCAGTGCTGTATATAAAAGTTTACATGATCGCAAACTTTTATTGAAATGAGATACTCTAAAAGATACAAAAAGTTTCATTTTCCTAAAAAACATTCACAGCTCGTGAACGAAAGATAAATTTACTTCAGTATGGATCGCAACGAAGCACCTTTGTAAATTTTTTCCAGTAAACCTTCGATACCGGATCCTTGAAGTACTTCCCATATAACAACCATCATATTTTTCATTAAATGAAAATCTCCGGGATAAACAAAAATTTTGTTCCATTTCTCAGGTTCATAACGTTTTACCTATACATAAAAATATAAAGAAAGATAAATGTATCTATTTTGAAGCTTACCTTCATACACGATCGATAGATTTTTTCATCGACAACAACAATTCCTTCTTTTTGGTAATTGGAATCGATAAACAATTGTTGTGTTTCTTCCAAACATTTTTCTGCTGCTAATTCTGAACTAGGATCATCATTTATTGGTGTCATAAATGAGATTATGTGAAGTGGTCGCTTCTCGGCACTTAGGTATGTAGCAAAAAATCCGGACATAATTGGAACCGAAAGACGTATCAATGGAGAAAGATAGTTGAAAGACCGACGGGTCGTGTCATTCACAAATTTTATCAGACCATAAGCCAGTAAAGGTACATGCAAGGACTCATTGACAAACATTCTCTTAGAGAAAAAAGTATGATCAGTTACATGAATAGGATTTTTATTATCTTCTGAAGAAATCTAAATAAAAAGTTTTCATTTTCATGTTGATAATGTGAATAAAGAAAATGAATACTCACAGTATTCGTGATATTTGAATTTACTATTGTATCGAGTAAATCATTCAGACAATCAATAATTAAGTTTGGTAGCTCATCATTTTCTGGTGTTGATATAAGTATCTGGTTCAGAATATGAATGCTATTGTTCCCATGCAAACGATCAGGGTTGATGTCGAAATTATCAGCTACTTTAACAACAAAATTATGAGTGACAAGTTCAGTTTGTTGGTGTTCAATAAAAAATGGTTTGAACGTCATTCTTGATCTTTCAGCAGCTTGAGCATGAAGTCTTACAATCGTACTATAGCTGGGTGTATGACCGAGTCGATTGGTAATTGTCAACAATTGTTCGGATCGTTCATGCCGATATAGTTCGTTGCCGAGCAAATCTATAAAAAAAAATAAAGTATTAGGTTTGATTATTTCCATAGATAAAAATTACAATGTTTTGGCGTTATACTACGGGAATTAGTTGCATAAATTAAATCGTAACATATAGAGGCAATCCTCAACCATTTGGTAGAATTTTTGAAGAGATCTTTGTTGTGAATATCGTAGAATCCGTATTCGTTCTTCATTTTCGAAAACATACTATCGTTCAAAGTTAATAATCCAACGAAATTTTTCAATAAGAGGGGCACACAACCCCACATCAAACCGGAATGAAACTTTAATAACGATAATGTGTCACATTTAATTGATCGGAAACGGTGGATACAATTTTTTATTGACGATCGAAGTTCTTCAATTACGTTCAGAAAACTTTCACACATATCTTTGTTCTGACCACCAGGGGGTTCTTGTCTTTTCCAAACTTTTGGTTTTTGTAAAGCACAATCCATATAAACAGCAGGATCTGACAATCCAACAAAAACACCCTAAAATATATTGGAGACTAATAGTATTCAAAATATTTTTTCTTTTAAATCGTGTGAACGCTTTTGCAGGAAAAAAATAATAGAATGCTTTGATTAACTCACTTCCGTATTGCTTTTTTTGACAAAATGCAACAGATCACCGTATTTAAATTTTAGACGATCTTGAATGCAAGAAGTTCGACACATATTCGGTTTTAGCTTCTCGTTACGTTGTTTAATGATGGTTTCATATTCAATACTTATATCAACCATGGACACAATCAAACCACTATAAAGTATCTCAATTAACCAAGAACATAATTCATCAAAGCCATTTGAAAATAAAGAACCAGTACTGCACTCTTGAGGATTTGGTGCACTTACGTGTAATGTTGATTTAATTCTAAGTGATCGACGGGGCTTCGACGTACTACACGTTGTTTCGCGATAAACCTAAAACAAAATACAAAGCAAGCTCGTTCTGCAATAATAAGTTCATTATTTTTTTTATTTTACTCGCTTTAATTTGTTTGCTCTCTTATTTGATTTCAAAATTCTCCTTTGAAAAATACAATAATTGTCTTCGATTGAATCCATCTCTCTTTGAATTACGGAGCTGTACGTTGGACTATTTGACGAAAATGATATTGGAATATCTACCTAGACGATATAGAATGAAATTATTCCAATGAACTGGAACAAAAACAGACATACTTGATTTTCAAAATTTTGATGTTTTGGTTGTTCACCCCCTGGTGTCGTACTAATAATATTTAGATCCTCATTATCATAATCTGTCGGAGATAAAACATCGATAAAATTTCTGGAATGATCGTACTAAAATATAAAGATCAAGTTCATGAAATTTCGCTGTGTAAACTGTAGAAAAGCAGTTACGGATATTTTTATGTTCGAATTTTTTCTAGTAATGACACTTTTCTCTGCTGATGAAGTTTCAACATCATTGAATTCTAATTTTAATTCGTCATGTTTGATTCTTGACAAAGATTCAATATCTGGTGGTGATAAACAAATAGGAACAATTGGTGTATTGGATTCAGATGAACGAATAAACGAGGTATCGTGGTTCGATTGGTCCATAAATGGTTGTTGATAGTTCAAAGCTTGAAAATCTTTAGGAATTTTTTTTTTTCTAGTCATCAAAACATCATCATTCTATAATCAAACGACAAAAAATATTCATTTTAAATAAAATACTATAAAATACTTCACCTCCTGCTCTGCTGATGACGACCAATAATCATTCAATTCCAGATCTAAATATGATTCACTGTTAAACGAATTTGGTTGATTTTGATGCAAACATCTTTTCATATTCCTGAGGGATGAAGACAAATGGTGTGAAGATGTTTGTGTTTTTTCTAAACTTGGACGACCAGGATGTGAATTAAGTTTTGGTCGACCACTTTTGTTCATTGTTGACACAGCTTGTAAATCCTTTGTAACAGATTTATAGCAAGATAAATGAACCTTTTTGTTGATCAAGCAACAATTTAACGATTGACCACGACATTTTTCATAACCATCGTAAATTTTTTGTTGTCGTTCAACAGTTCCTATTATTGTAAATTTTGAACGTGCGCCTCTTTCCCGTCGACCACATAGAAGACAATGTACTATTTCTGATGGCATGATAACTTTGTTTTACTTCGCACTACTGTACATTGTGAAAACAATAGTGCCACTATGCACTGCTGTCATTGGTTGTGGTGTTCTATTGCACGCCATTGGTCAACTTAATTAGTGATTTTCTCTGGAAAAAAAATTGGGCCGAAAAATCTGATCCCATAGAAGGAACTCCCTTTCTCTAAGCTACAATTTGATGTAAAGATCACCTCTTGAAAAAGTGTCCCCGCATATTAAGAAATTAGCGCCACTAAGTGCATAAGTGTGTTCTACATTTGATATTGAATCGATGATTCATCTCGATTTGCCTGTAGACTATTAGTCGATCTGTTCGGGGCCTAAGATAGCAACATCATTTTATTTATCCTTCCTGATTTTCATTGGTTTCTTCCATTGGATCAATACAGAGAGAGCAATGAGAGATGGAGCAACATACATTGTGTTTCATGCATGTTATTTTAGATTTTTTTTCTTATTTGCACATGTCACATATTATTGTGGAATCATTCAATGCTTAAATTTTTTTTTAAATTATTTTAAAATGAAAATTTTTTTTATTGGTATTATATTTAAAACTTGACAATATTTTTCCGAAAGAAGTAGAATTTTTTTTTCTTTATATTATCTCATGACTTCAAAAATAAAATTTTCTAAATTTTTCAAAATTGTTTAAATAGCAAGCAAATTTTCAAGTAATTTAAAAAAAGTTCTATCTAATATCTCGTATTAAAAACGTAGAAATATCGAATTAAAAATATTTTGATGTAAACACACGAAATGTATATCCATCCCGCTCCATCTTTCGTTCATTTTTTCCTATTGGTCGAATGATGCACTCCAATGAATTTTTTTCCCTACTTCTCCTCCATGAACATTTAGATGACGAAAGGGGCACAGGGTATGGCGAAAACAGAAAATTTCTTTTTTTTTCTTTCTCGTTCTAATACGTTCGTATTCACCCTTGAACTCTATCTCTTCCGCTACGTTTAAGTACACAAGATAAAAATATTGAAACATAAATGAAAAGATGTCGCCACTTTCCTTCCTATGCGGACAGTTAATTATCAAAGTTAAGTATGACACAAGACAAAAAACTGAAATAGGTTTCTGAAGCGTTAGAGAGGATAAAAAGGCAGCTTGGCAGTGCGACTGCAGGAATAAGACATTTTTTTTGTTTTTTATATTTGTATGCATACTGCAACCTATGATCACGACGTGGACTTGCCCTTTCGGAGGGGATCTAAAGGTGGAATCATGTCATAAAGGTGCCCATTCGATAGAGCTCGACGAGTTCTATCTTGGTATACCATTATTAGATTTTGGTATAACGTGTAGACGAATCCAGGTGTGAAATACCTGGAAAATCTGAATTCTGACCAGGATGTGCCCTTTAGGAGAGGATCCAAAGGTTGAATCGGGTCAAAAAAGGTGTCCATTCGATAAAGCTCGATGAGTTCTATCTTGGTATACCATTAATGGATTTTGGTATAACCTGTAGACGAATCAAGGTGCGGTTTACAAAAAATGCTTATTTTTTCGTGATTTTTCGTTAGTTTTTTGAATTTTTTTCCAAGAAGGGAGGGGACTGGGAAAAAGTAAATAGTGGAATCGATAGAACTCGTCGAGATCTATCTTGGTATACCATTGGCAGGTTTTGGTATAACCTACAGACGAATCCAGTGACGGAATACTCGAATCCAGCTCCAAGATATCCTACGTTATTTTATTTATAATTCTCATGTTAAAAACATTTCTCGATATTCCATATCTCAAATTAATAAAATTACTGGAAATGGATCAAGCAACCAAAGAAATATTTGAAAAATTTTTTCAAGTATTGCTTGATAATGATTTAGTAAAGGTGAAGAATGATATTGAACAAACAAAAGAAGAAGAAGCATGGATCGTTTGCTATCCATTGATTCCAGAATTACTTAAATACAACACGGATTTACATCAGTTTGTACAAAAAGCTATGGTATTATTAAATATTGACCAAAATGTGAAATCTAATCTTCATGATATATTTCAACGAATAATTGTCGAATTGGAATACTTAAAATATCGTTTTGCAGCACAACAAAGGATTATCGACAGTCATGAAAAAAGAATAAATGAACTTGAAAATGATATGAAACTACAACAAGCAAGAATGATGGCTTTTGATATCGTCAAATTATTTCAATATTACTATATCGATGACATACTTAAAGGTTCTCCATTCTCAACCTGGAAGTCGTTTACCGGTAAGTTGATATAAATATTGAGAAAATTCTTCTTTTAATTTTAAAAATTCATATTGAATTATAGATGAATGGGCTAAACGAGAAAGTGCTGTCTTGCAGAATATGATAGCCAATAGTAATACGATTAACAATAATGATCCAACAATAATCGATAAGGTTCAACAAGATCCATTCATCCGTCAACTCGTTGAACCTGTTGAACGTGAATTATCACAGCAATGGAAACTTAATTTGAAGCTCAGAACAATTCGTGATATTGCCAATGAGAGACATGAAGTTGCACATGATCCTATTAAGACGGACATGGACCAACGATGTTTTTTGGTGAAATGCAATAATTTTACATTTCCTGCAGAATACCAATATACCACAGATATTAAAAAAATAATTAATGTTTTAAATGGAACGAAACTTAAACGATATTGTTAAAAGCCTATTCATTTGTCATTTATTGTATTTTTGTCATCTATAAGATTGTCTTAAACTTTTTTTATTTCTATGTAACATCATCTATTTTCTCTATTAAAGAAGTGCTCGAAATCAAATAATCTGGTTTAAATTTATCAGATAATAAAAACGATTATTTTTCTTGTTGCTGTATATTATAGGAAATTGTGCATTTATCTGTACACACTATTCTTCCAAACGAAAATGTTCTGGAAGGTCAAATGTAATTTTATTGAAGCAAAAAATCTCAAATGTGTAACGAGAATATGCTCGAATTGCTAAATTTTATTATGCAATTGATGTTGGTCTTCGATGATTAGAAAACAGTTTATATGAAGCTTATTGGGATGTAACAGAAGATGCATTAAATGAGTAACAAAAAAGAAGAAGAAAAAAAAAACCTATTGATATCTATTTCATTTTTAGTTTAGCTCAATTTTTATTTAATACATCAATTAATAAAGATGTCGATGATTATTTATATGAAGCTAAATGTCAATTATTAATGTATTCAGCAATTGCAATAATTAAAATGAATACTATTGTAAGTAATTATACTTTCTTTTTTTTGTGATTTTTGAAAATTCTAGAGACGTCGATCAATACATGATGCGAAAATGGCATGTGCAACAATATGTTTATTATTATTAGAACGAAGTAAATCATATGAAATTTCATCGAATAAAAATGAATATTCATCTTGTATTCATTCAATGTATTGTCGATATTTAAAGTGAATATTTATTATTGGTAAATACATTTTATTCTTTTTTTAAGTCATATAATGTCTGATTAGAATACTCTTCTCGAATTTGACCTTGGAAATTTTCTTTGAAAAGCTCAAAGAATTAGTTCGAATGTGTGAAGAACTGTACATTCCTATTCAAAACTAAAAAAGAAAAGCATCTAAATTTTATTTTATTTATTAATTAATGTATTTAGTTCAATGGTTATCAACTCTATCGAAAATACAAATAAATAATATACAAACAAATTATGAACGATATGTAAGTTTTAGATACAAAAAAAAAATTAAATTACAATCATTGAAAATTTTACATTACAATTGTTATTAATCAGTTATTTTCAACAATTTCATTATCAGATAAAATAAATAATTTTATTGATAAAAATTTATTTGATAATAATCTTAATGATGATGATGTAACATCGAGTGATTTTGTATTTGTTCGACATTTTCCAATATTTAATGAAGATATTATTGATAAATATAATGATTTAATGTATATGGGTTTTGTTAGTACATTAAATCAATGTAAGAATTTGAATGATTTTATTTAGAAAAAAAAATCATAGAACAAGATTCAATTAGATTTATTTCAATCAATTAAGAAACTTTGCCAAGTGATAAATTGCTTTTAAGATGGATTTTATCGTATTAAGTAGGTCCTATTGAGACGAAAGAATACGTAAGAAGATTCGCAGTTATAGAACTTTTGTTTTGTATAATGATTATTTTAGTGAGTTGTTCAAGAAAATACTCTAGTCTCTCTCTCTCTCTCAAAACGTTAAAACCAAATTTTGCAAAACAAAATTCTCAGTTTAATTGATTCATTGCGAAAGGATTAGATTTTCTAATATCTTCTATCGTCAGATAAGATGTTTTGTTTTATGATATAATAGAATTTTTAATATTGATATCTGAAAAAAATCTGATGCTTTTTACCGTGAACTAGCCCAATTGAAACCTTTATTTTTGCAAAAAATTTAAACTCAAAACAAAAGACACATAGATATGAATCCTTTTAGAACTTCTCTAGTCTCAATAGAACCTACCTTCCAGGTGAATATTGTACAGTCGGATCCACCAGGAAGATTCGATAAAGTCGTAGGAATACAATGATGGGATTTTCTCATTTTCAGCGAGAAACGAGCAGAGCCGACAGTCGCACACAATCATCATACTACTGCTTTCAACTTCCTATCATTTTCCGGAGTCGGCCAACTGGATATCTGAATCATTGGCTTGGACTAAGCCATTTAAAATTCTCTACCTCGTTTTCGCGCTGATCTTTGTCAATTTTGTAGAATTACATTCAAAACTATTTTTTTATTAGGATTCAATACGAAAGAAATCATCGTTAAGAGTAGTGGCATATAACTAAATAGACGAGATTGAACTTTCTCTCCGTCACATAGTGGACAACAACGTAAGTGTTTGGTGAAAAAAAATGAAAATGATATTTTTTTTCTGATTTCAATGATATCCAATATAGTTTGGCGAATGTCCGACTTTTTATTTAAAAAAAATTTTCAAGCTCTTTAAGGATTTATGAAAATTCCATAGCCAAGTTTCTGTCATCTTAGATGAAAGTATTTTGTTTCTAAGACCTACGGAATAAATCGAGCTCTTGCTCTATCCTTCTATTTGAAAAACTTTGTTCTAACAGTTTTCCTATTGGGAAAAAGTATTCATCCTTTCTCAACTAAGGTTTTTCTAAAAAGACATGTTCAGTTCACAGACATTTTAGTACAGTTCCAAATTCAATGAAACTTTCACAGAATGTTTTTTGTTTCTATCTAAAACGTCTAGTCATTTAGCGTAAATGTTTCGGAACCGAGATACAGGCTTTGTACAAAACCTTGACTTTTATCTGAGGAGTACTTGAAAAGAAAAATAAAGACATATTTGAAATCAGCAAGAATAGCTACACCGAATGATGTGACATCTATTAATTTAAGAATAATGATCCCTTGAAAATGTTCTTTTATAAATTTCACATTTTTATCATTGTCGAGTACTTGAAATTAATATTTCTATGAAAACAAATCTACGTTTCTGATAGAAAATAATTTATTCCGCGGCCAACGGTTGAGCCTCTACTATAACTTTTTATTGATTATACTACTAATATTATATTTATTCTTACATTAAAAAAAATCTAAATTAATGATATTGAATTTTTTTTAGTTAAAAATAATCTTGTACGAAAATTAATTTGTTATATATGGACATTATGTTGTATGATTGAATCAAATCGAATATCACTTGGAAGTAAGAATTCAAATTTCTATAACTAAATTTTCTTTTTTTGTTTTTAGTTATAAGTTCTAGTACAATACGTGAACATTTTTCACTATCACCAATTGATTTTGAACAAAAACCAATTAAAATTGAATCATTAAATGAACGAGATATTATTGTAAATAATATTAAAATAAAATATATTCTTTGAAAAATTCGATTCATTTTTATTAAGGTCTTTCTTCTATTATGTGCTCAACAAAATTTACATTTACATGATAATGATTCAATTTTACATCCATATTTACTTTTTTCATTATCTCATCTATGTACACAAGAACAAAAAAATTGGTGGCAAACAGCTATGGAACAAAGGTAACAAAAAAAAATAAATCATATAGAAAAATTTCATATTCGTTATTTTTCCTAGTTCATCGAATGAATTTATTGATCATCTTGCTACAATACGTCTCAATGATGAACGAATATCTCAACATCCACCAAAACTGATCATACTTGAAACTGCTCGAATTCTTTTAAAATCGGTAAAGAAATAATTGATGAAATCGACTTCTTCGAAAAATTTAGTTTCTTCTATGTCAAACGCTTATACCAAAATATCCGAAAATGATTTCTAATGGAATTAGCCCTATAGCATTTGTTTTTTGTTGTTTGAAATAGTTAATGACTGTTGATGATAATCAGCATTTTAATCTATTATCGAGAAAAAAAACTATTTTTCAGACGTGATTTGATGACATTTTTTACTGATATCTAGTAGATTTCAGTCAAACAAAAAGTGCGACCTGTATAAAACAACAGTGTTTCTTTGATCGATATGTTTATATCATTTAGTATCGCTCGAAAAGTTCTATCAAATTATATGAAAACTAGTCTGGCCAGTCATCAAATTGATAGACAAAAATGTCGATTAATAGTCATTAGCTATTTCAATGGATCTAAGCATAGCACAAACAAGGCAACAACTTGTACGAGAGTTTGACGTTGAAGAAACGTAATTTTTCAAGACAATCGATTTATAAAATTATTTTGTTTTTAAAAGGCTAAAAATCTTTATGAACAACATGCAACACGTGCTGCATCATCTTATGAACAATATGCAATACGATATCTTCAAGTAGCTAAAAGAAATCAAAATAATCAGTAAAGAATACAATGTGAAATGAAAAAGAACAAAAAAAAAATTGTTTTTTTTTTTGTTTTTAGGGGATTATCCGATTCACTTAATAAAACAAATATGCCGGTAAATAAACAAGATAAATTATTTTTCTTCTATTCTCAAAAAACAATAAATACTAATCAAAAATATATTGAACAATTAATTGAAGAATGTGAAAAACTTCCTCAAAAATGTGATGAATTAAAAGTAGAAATTAAGTTTTTTTTTCAGTATTGATCAATAATTTTCATTTGTTTTTTTTTAATATAGTCATTACCTGAACCAGAATCACCAAGAACATCAAGTCCAACCATAGAACAACGAAAAGGTTTTTATTTCTTTTTTGTCTCGAAGAAAAACAATTAAAAATTTCTTCTATTAGACATTGATATCTCGGCTGCTTTGAGTCCAGTTGTTGTTGAAAAAGAAGAACGACAGCATTCAGAAGTAAATATCATGTTACTTTAAATTTATTTAAAAATGATAACATGTCTGTATTCTTTGTGGAGGTGAAAATATGGATGAAGTAAACTCCTCTTCATCATAATAGAAGCCGTCGGGTCATCTAAAATGTCCAAGTATTTATAAGTTTTAGGGGAAGCTACTAATACAACTTGGGTGTGGATAGCACCGAAAAGAAATTTCACATACTCATATCATATCATGATATTATGAACAGAAGAACTATGAATTTGTTTATTTATGAGAATATTCAAATACCTGTTTCTAGACAAAGTAACAGTTACAGAGTACATAGTGATTATGATCTTAGATGTCAAAGGAAAATGAAGATGATTTGTTATGACCATTCTTAATCATGAGTATTCTATATCTGGAGAAATATTTTTTTATACGCAGGCGGCGCCTGACCAACACTAATTTAATAGCCTCTGTGAGGCTTTGCTTGAAAAACTGAAATTATCTGAACACAATAAAAGTGTTAGAGCTTCTAATACGTCTTTACATTGAGTCTTCTATTTCGGAAAATAGTTGAGGTAAAAAGTCGCTCCGTCCCGTCAAAAATCTGTTTTCGAAGACCAAATTTTTCAGTCCATTTTCATAATCACTATCTAGTTTCATGAGATCAAAACACATAATTCACCTGTGTCGCACTATCACTGGTATACCGAATGATTCACCGAGAACTTTTGTCCGGTTTGAATTACATGGGTATAGATCATTTTGAAATAGACAGCAATATACATAATAATAAAAAAAGAATAAGTTTGACTTGTACTGTTAGCATTAAAAGAATATATCATGAAGCATTTTCAACATACAACAATTCATATGATTCGAACTGGACAAAAATCGTCCGTAGACCACTCAGTATAATATTTAGTGTGAACAAACATGTGACATGAGAAAATGGTCGAATTTCTTCATGACGTTTATCATGAGTGTTTAATGAATATTATTATATAAATATAAATAATGTCGATCTAAATATGTGCATATTCCATTAAATAGATCTTTATGCCAATAGGTTAGCATAAAAAACATTTATAAAGAGATTTTAAAAAAATGTCTTTTGAACTCTGACTATACTCTTAAAAAATACAGTATCATCCCGTGACACGTCTCTATCTCTGATTCAGAAAGTTCAAATGTTGAAGAGTTTCATTTATAGAACAATGATGTTTGAATAATGGTTTAGATTAGTAAACGTACATTCACTTGTTCTGTGAATTCTTTTTTTCCAGTTTCGCGTTCAGCATAAAGAATTTAATAACACTAATAGACTTTAGGAATTGCATGAAACATTTTTTTCTATATAGTATAATTAATTAGTTCTTGTTCATGGATTGCTACAATAACTAGTCGATTCTTTATGCGAATATTTTTATCGATATAATTCGTACAATGAATTGCAGAAATTCAACAGATAATGAAACTATTCTTTGTGTTAGGTGCAGCCCTAGGAAAAAAAAAAGTTCTCGGACAATAGAAAATAGTTGTCTAGTACTTTTAGTTGACTCTGACTTCAAGCATATGTTTAGCATTGTTATTGATCAAGAATTCAAATTTTTTTTTTAAGTAAAGGAATTATTATCCTTTGACACTAGCAGAATAGTATCAAACATACAATTTTCAGTGGCAGAAAAAAATTCTGGAAGTTGTCATTCGAGATTTTATGTTTGATACTATTCTGCTGGTGTCAAAAGAGAATAATATCTTTGCTTATAGAAAAGAATATGAAAGCTTGATTAAACATATACTTAAAGTCAGAGTCAACTCAAACATAAAAGTATTGGAGAATTGTTTTCCATTGTTCCAGAGCTTTTTGCCGATAGTGTACTTCGCATTTATACTTTGTTTTTAGTAATTATTTGTTGAAATTTAAAAAGCAATCAATTGAATTTTATTGTTATTTTAGATTACAGATTCAACATTATTTACAACACCACCATCAATTAAAACACATGATGTTGATGTACAAACATTTCTACAATTTCCATTATCACCTCCACCAATTGTTACAATGGTACCAATTGAAGAAATAATAGAAGCATCATCTGAACCACCATTACCATTCTATGCTGATATGATATTTTCTCATATGAATAATGTTAATCAATGGATAAATAAATTTTGTCTTGATCATGAAATAATTCAAAATGATATAAATATAATAAGAGTAAATATATCTTTTTGAATTTTAATCATATTAATTAATATTTATTTTTTGAAAAAAACAAAAAAGGATCGTCTTGAAAAAATTAATCGTGTAACTAGTCAAATGATGTTTTCAAATATGAAAATATCATCATCATCAGCAGCAGCATTAGAAACAAATGAAAATTCTAGTGGATTTTATTCATCACATCAAACATAATCTATAAAATAATGTCATATATTCTTTCTATTTATGGTATTTTGCATTTACTCTTTTCTTTTTTCTTTCTATTATAACACAGATCATTTATGAACTTGTATAAACAGATAAACACTTAATAAATCATGTTGCAAGAAAAAAAACAACATTCATATTTCAGTGAAAGTATAACGAACATTACAGATAAAATGCTCTTTTTGAAGAGAATTGTGGGACCTTAGAAATATTCATATTTTTGAATTTCTACCTAAAACTTTGCTCATAAAAAGTGTTAACTAGACTATCTTTTATAAAAAGTTGCAGAATTTTTGGACTAAATCTCTCCGAGATATGAAGCTGTCAAAAAATTCATACTATATATACTATAAATGAACAAGAGAGATGATATCTATATTTTTGGGACTTGACTGAGTTGAATCGGGAAGTTCTTTTTTACTAGAAGAGGATATAAAATGGAAATGAATTTCCTTGACTCAACGCAATTTGAACTCTACATGGCATTTCTATTTTCTGTTTATATTCAATTGAATTTCCTGAAGGTGTAAGTGTAATTGAGCGAAAAGAAGAACATCCACATTCCAATTATATTTCTTTCCTCTTTCCTGCACTATTAGTACTTTTCATGAATCCATTTCAATGAGATAAAATCAATTTTAAAAATGTTCAACAATTGATAAACTATTTAATTAACGACGAATTTCGAAAATCAATGAAAGAATTGTATAATAAAAAACGATTTATATTGAACAGTGATATGAGTGAATCTTTATCATTACTCAGCTTTGATGATGTAGCAGCAATTAAAACGCTCAATGAATCTATTACGTTCGAGAAATGGTCACAGCTTCAGAAATCATAGATATTCGCAAACATTGATGTTTACCAATCATCCGAAGGTAACGAATACCATTCATTTTTTGCAATTAGCCAATAATATTTCCATGGCTGCAAACTACTTGAAATTAACGAGCTCAATAGTTGATAAACATGAAGAAGAGCTTCAACGATGTAAAGTGAAAAACTTAACGATTGGAAAAGAAATCAATAAATTATCAAAGAGCTCTATTGAAAATAGATGATTGGTAATCAATAACAAATATTTCATAAATTTCTTCTTACTTACAAACTAATTCATACACAATTATTGAATCCCGTACAAAATTGATTAGATGATTTGAGCAATCAAAGAAACAGATATGTAAAAGAAAACGAAAACACGATGAATTCAACAAATACGTACATTTCTAAGACATTAGATGTCATTGAAGCGATCATTAATGTTACATCAATTTCTCTGAGCATGGATGTAGTTTATCAAACGGTATAGAATCTAACTAGGGAACCTTCCAAGGTGCGGGAGCGCTTTTCAATCGGGGTTTCGTGCATCTTGTAGCCCGTAGTGAGTTATGCTTACGGTAAAAAAAGTTCGGGTTTCTGGCTTGTTTCTGAGGAGATATCGAGCTCTTAGTGAATTTTCTTTATTGTACGCCTACAGTGGCAGCAAAGCTATACTTTCAAATGTTGACCTGAAACTTTGCCTGCATAAAGGCCNTCTCTCCAATGAAAACATACTGATGATGGACCACGATAACAATTATTTAATAATGAATAACATGTATCGTTAATCATACCTTTAGTAATGGATAAATCATCAGAGAAATTGAAAATAAATTGACTAACATTATTAAATAAAGATAGAATGTCATTATCAAATCGATATTGACATATTGAACCAAACCAAGGTGATGAACAATTGTAAAATATTTCACTAGAATTTTCACCATTTTTTTCATATCGTTCTACAATATCTATTGGTGATGCCCATTGAAGGAATTCTGTACTTGTTATACCTTCTCGATATAGTTCAGCAAATGTCATCTTATTTAAAACATTTTCATATGATACTATAGATAATTCTTCTTGTTCTTCATTTTCATCAAGTCGACGACAATAAGGAATTAAATTATAAATACTATCATATAACATGATTATATCTTTTGAGAAACTTCTTGAATAAGCATACAAACAATCAAATGTACCATGTAGCCGATATTCATCATTAGAATTATAAAAAATATATCGAGCATCAATTATCACAAATAATGCAATAATAAACAGTAATTCTTTTGATATCATTATCATTGGGATTAGCCAAGAAAAACCCAAATTTTTTTTGCTTTTTGCTGAAGCAAAAAGTATAAAACAGATATTTTTCTAATGTCTGAAAACAGACATGAGATTAGAATTTTTTTCCTAATATTTGTTTCGACAATAAAAATCAATTTAGGAAAAGAATGACAGATGCGAAATTAGATTCTTTTATTAAAATATTCTTAACATGTGTTATTCTATTTTTCATTCCATGACTTTGTACGACACAATTTGAATAAATAGTTTTACGAAAGAAAAATAAAATTTCCATTAATATAAAATAAATATTATCATTGCAGACAAGTGTTTTTTTGAACGCAACGGCTAATTCTTTCTAATGACAGCTTTTAAAGAGATAGAATGAATGAAAGTGAAGCAAATATATAGCAGCGGAGATGAGGATAAAGATGGAAAAAAAAATGGTTCATATATAATTTTAATACATTTAGTAGTTTTGATTTTGACTACTTGTCATGTTAGTTAAAGGCAATGAGAAAGAAAATGTCGAAGGAGCGTGTGTTCGACAGATAATTGCGCAAAACATGCAATAAAATAAATGAATGTAGATTATTTTCAACCATCATGTAATGTAACTAGTTGTGATCAACATTTTCCTGGCTATTCTACTAAGTGTTGATTTTAGTTATAAAATTCATCTGCCGAAATAATAGCAATAAGAAGTTTTTTGATTAAATTATGCACGACATATGTCATTGAAATAAATCTCAGAAAAAGAAATGTCGTTAATTATTGATATTTAGCTTTGATAAGAAAATGTTGATGTGCATTGGTTAGATACTTTTTACAACAACATAGCATTGAGAAAATGGCAAACTGAATTTTGAGACTGTATCCATCAAAGAAAATTACTTGAACTAGAATCGTCAAAAAACTTCTCAGTCACTCAAAAATAATCTCTTAATATTTTAAATCTCGTTAAAATTCAACTTTATATATGGTAAGTATAGTTATTAGAGTTAAGTTTTCATATTATACAATATAAAGACAAACATTTCTGGAACCATTTTTGTTTTAGCTGTTAAAGTTTGTTTGAATAAACATCATACCATTGGAGACCAAATAAAAATGCGAGTGTCATCAATATGTTTTTATTGTCGAGATTATATGACAGATATATCGTGTAACATAGTCTTCTGATAAAAAAAATAATATTGATCATTAGAAAATGTTCAAAAGTTGCTGTAAAACAGGAAATATTGTGCTTTTTTCTTTGTTCATTTTGAAGAGCAGGAATTTAGCGAAATAAAATGTTTCCAAACTCTTTAATATGTCAAATCAATTCTGTGTAGTAAAGAAATAGGAAAATCTGTTTTTTTCGACTTTTTTTCTACCAGAAAAGGATTGAAATATGTTCAAAGTATAAATTTCTATTTTTTTTTCATCTTATAATGTATTATTTGACCTGTTAAAGAGTTTAAACACATCTTATTTTGTTAGATATCTGAAGGTCTTCAAAATGAACAAAGAAAATTACAGTTGTTCGTCCTTCACAGAAACTTTTGAGTACTTTTTAATGATCACCATCATCTTTTAGCAAAAGACTCTGCCACAGAAAGTACCTATCTCATTTTATCTCGACAATGAAAACATATTGATTATATGCATTCAGACCCATCAAATTGACAAATCCTACAAAATTCGGTAAGACTTACTAGCGGGTATTCATCATACGTCAAACTTTTATATTCTTTCTAATGGTACCGTTTTCATTCAAATAAAATTTAACGAATATAGTGTTCCAGAATTTTTTACTGCGAGAGGATTTGTTCTTTTTCCTTGTTTATATTAAAATCGAAAGTTTTATCACTACATGGTATGATATGAAAGCTTAATCAATAACTATCTTTATACCAAACCTCCTCTCATAATAGAAGCTTCCCACGGACTTCTAAATTGTTAAGCGTCCAAAATTTTCGGAGGGGTGGAGGGTGATGGCTCTCCGTGTCGTCATTGCTGCTTGCGTTCGGATTTCACACTTCGTGTGTTTCTGTATTTGTCTCTCTTGGTTGATGATATTCGCGCATTTTTTCTCTCTCGGCGAGTATTCATTAGATAGCACTGAGAGTTTAGTTTCAGTTTTGGCGATCGTCTCGTGCACTTCTATGTTCGTGACATACATTGTTGTATTGCATTTGTTATTCTCTTGATTCGACATACAGACATCATTACACCTATATATTCGTTATACTATTTCTTGGCATTGAGCTTACCTTACACTTATTGGCATCTCAGAGGGCTTCTATTGCATCCTATGATTTTTCAAAGATTTTAGATACCCAAGTTTTTCAACGACTTTAAGAGGATTTTGCAATTCTTCAAGTTTTACTGTGAAAATACTAATAAAAGTTTCCAAAAAGGTCTCTTGGGGGTTGGTGAGGGTGAAGAGAAGGCAATCACCTTCACCCTCAAATGTAAAGCATCAATATTGGCGTGCCCAAAGATATTTCCAAGATCTATTTCTCTTCTATTGCTCCGTTGATGGGCTATATGAGCGTTCTGCTACTAACTTTTCCACATTATCAGTATGCAAATGCCACTTGTCAGAGTTAGTTTTTGCTAGGTCGTCCTTAAATATATATTGGCTGCATGAAAATAAAGTTACGAATTACTCGAAGAAGAGGCTTTTTAAGAATCGTCTTCTTTAATTTCGAATAGATCCGTTTAAAATATCACCAAAGATTTTTAAGAGAATTAAAGCCTGTTTAAAAACTTCTTTTCTTACCCGAAGGGACGTTGAGTGACTGTAAGTGAAACGAATCACAACTATGTCTTGAATTATATTTTGAGTAGAATTATACCGATTTTATTCATTAGCACAAAAGTAAATTTTTAGCAAAATAAAAAGAATTTTTCTCCCGTCTTGTCTCTATGTATGACTGTATATTAACACAAGTGGTTTCCCTAGAAACACATACAGCTAATAGTAAATCAACCGAGCTTGAAAAATTGAATCATTGAGTCTTATCGGATGCGTTCAGGTTCAATATCGAAGTATGTTGAAAATAGGTTTTTATGACTTTATTCGATCGGGTTCTTTATGCTACGATACATGGTTCCGATAAGTTCTTATTGGATCTAGCAACAAAACTTAAAAGATATAACAGAACCACTATCGTGAACCATTCATATTGATTCATAACGCACTGTTTTTGATATGAAATTCCCTCTTTTAGAGAGTTAAAACATAGGAGTTTTGAATTGTAGAACAAAATCACATTTTAACGCTAAAAATAGATGATTTTCACTGTTTTGACCCGATCAAAAACGATAAATTCACGTAAAAAATGGCGCTTTATTAATCGATGTGAGTGCTTCACAATCGTGGCTCTCGATTACGCGTTTTACGAAATTTTTGTCTGCTTGAGTTTTCTGATCATAGACATGGTACCGATGCTGCTATACACATATGACTTTGATATTAGTACTTACTACAACTGTGACAATGATGATAGGAAAGTTCATTGAAAGGTTTATATAAATACTCAGTAAAACACAAAGGTAATGATTATATCAATCTATCAAGGTAGAAAATGTGAATATTTTGACGTATTCAGTGTGGTAATCTTTAGTAAAACATTGGCATCACTGAAACAGTGTTAATATTTCAGCATTGTCATTAAGATTAAACGTCGTTTTCCAGTTCTTGTGTATTTTCAATTGTAAAACTGATCTAGCAATATTAATCTTGGACAAAGCATCAACTATGGATGAGAAAGATACGAATATTTCTAATGTAATTTATTAAATAAGAGAACGCGAAATGATTTCAGTTTTTTTTTTATTTTAGCCTAAATCAATTAACGTTGATCTGACTCAAAAAGCAGCTTCTGTATCAACAACATTGTATGTATACTCTGAACTTTATTAGACAATATAAAAACCTATTAGCGCTAGATGTTTAAATATTAGAAAAAGAAAATTAATACGGATCATAGGTTTTGGTGTTGTTGCCATTTTGATCAATACTAGCCATCATGGTTCCAGTAATTATTATTCGACAGAAAAAAGGAAATACAACAAAAATAACTTCAGAGACAACAACATCAACGGCAACTACGACACCAACAATAAAAATAGTAACAACGACAACAAAAAGTATAATACTATTGAAAAGAAAATAGAAAAAATTATGAAAAGACATGTAATTCATGCTGGAGTGTCTAGAGGTTACTAATTTTAGGAAGGTGTTAGCCGTTTTTCAGAAACGAATGGCCAAATAAAACAGCAAAACATTGTAATTTCCCTACCAAAATCGAAATTTTTCCAAGATTGGAGGAGAGGTCACCCGATCCCCTGTGGTCGGAACACCCCTGAATTCATGAAGGTGCAATCCATACTCATTTATCTATCTGTTTCGAATAGTCACAAAGATTGAAATAATATACACTAAAAAAAGAATTCATTTTCCGAGAAATTAAAACAAAACTAGTATTTTGAAGAATTAGAAAGATATTGGAAGAAACTAATTTCGAGGTATTTTATCAGTAATTTAAAGAATTTCTGAATATTTGTTTGATACTCCTAAAATGTAGCACGAATTTCTAAAGTCTTTCACTGGTTTTAGGAAAAATATCTTATTCAGAATCAAAAAAAATTTGAATAACATATTTAGTTTTCAAGCTCCCTTCGAATTATCGTTTTACCACATTTTCCAACATTCTGCATGAAATAAAAATTCTCCATACATCAAGAATAATGTATTTTGCAAATTGAGGAAGTGAAGCAGGTTAACTGTTTTTCTATAGATATAGTTAACTAGTAAGATGGAAGAAGTTGGAAGAAAACAATTATTTCCATCAGATATAATGAAAATTTTTCTCCCATGGTCAAAACATCATGAATTCAGAGGAACTAGAGGAGAAAATGGGGATCATATTAGATCTCAAGATTCACCTTTTCTTCCTTGACTATGAATCAAATAATGACATCTATTCCATATCAAATATCTAATATGTAGTAAAATTAAACAAAGAAGAAATATTTTATCTCAAGAAAAACTTTGAAAAAAACAAAATTGTTTTATCCGTATTAGAGACCTGCGGGACAAACTTTTCTATGTCCCGAATCCCGTTTGTCCCGTCCCGAATTTTTTCGCATTATCCCGAAAAATCCCGTTTGTCCCGTTTGTCCCGTACCCGGAAAAAAAATAAAGATATGATTTTGTTCAATAGCAGTACGCCTCTTCTATATACACTCAATCGAAACAATTTATTCATGTCTATGATTATGAGATGATTTATGAATTTCTGATAAGTATTATTGACTATACAATGTCGATCAGAAAAAAGGTTCAGATATGGATAAAATTTAAAGTTTGCTATAGATCGAGCGAAATATCCGAACTTCGAATATTAAAAAGTATTTATCTGCCTGTCGCGAAGTTTAGAAAAATAGATTAATAAAAAATACAACTGCAATTGTAATAAACTCTCGCTCTCATCCATACACTAATTGATCGTTGAAGTGCCTTCACCAAATAAGACGATGTGCTTAAATGGTATTAGAGGTAAAACAGCGGATAAAGAGAATGATAATAGACAAACATTAAAACATCTCGTGGCTTGTTTTTTTTTGTGTTTTTCGTTGACACTTTTTATTTAAGTGCTAAAATGTTTGTGAACAATATGAAATTTTAAGTTTACAACGGATTTCGATATACAAGCTCAAAAATTTCGGGACAACATTATTTTTCGAATTGTCTCGAATCCCGTTTGTCCCGTCCCGATCCCGTTTGTCCCACGGGACCGGACAAGCGGGATTTTTCGAGATTCGGGACTGTCCCGCAGGACTCTAATCCGTATTCCTCGAGACTTAAAAAATTGCACTTTTTATTTTGAAAGAAATTAAAAAATGAAATAAAACTAGTTTAATAAAAAAGAATGAGAAATGTTCTTTTTGATATTTTTTAATGTGAAGGAGCAAAAAAGTAAAAAGAGATTTTTATGCTATTTCATTATTAGAAGCATTTATAATTATCTAGATAAAAAACCCTCTATGAATTGATTGATTTTACTAATTTTGAAAGAATAAGATTTACTTTTTGGATCATTAAGAAGTAGTTTTTGACTTGGTCATTCTCATTCATTTGATTTCGAAAATAATCAATAAAATTTCTTGTTGTGGGCGATTTTCTTTGTATTTTAGAACCAATAAATTCTACAACTAGCATTACTGTCGATATAAAATGGATACAAAATGGAACTACAATTGTTGAAGAACAAGAGTTCGGTGAGACACTTGATAAATTTGGCAAACTTGAAGGGTTTTACGTCGATTATGATGATCAAATGATTTATATTTGTGATAGTTGGTTTAAACGTGTTGTTAAATGGAAATATTATTCAAAGATAGGCGAACTTACTGTAGGCGACAATGGAAATGGGAATCAAAGTGATCAGTTGAACCATCCGATAGATTTAATTATTGATAAAGACAATGATTCTCTTATCATTTGCGATAGAGACGAGAGACAAGTAGTACGATGGCCTCGTCAAAATGGCACAAATAAACAAATAATTATTTTGAACATCGATTGTAATGATTCAACTATGGATCACGATGGAGATCTTTATTTTTCTGAATTCGACAAAAACCAGGAACACGATGAAAGATAGGAGACATAAATCAAACAATAGTAGCAGGTGGAAATGGACAAGGAAATCATTTCAATCAACTCAATCGTCCTAGTTATCTCTTTGTTGATCAAAATCATTCAGTTTATATATCAGATACAAGCAATCATCGTGTTATGAAATGGATAAAAGGTACAAAAAAGGTATTCTCGTTGCTGGTGGACAAGGTTTAGGAGCTGGACTCAATCAATTGACATTTCCTCTGGGAGTGATTGTCGATCAATTCGATTTTGTCTACGTGGCTGACGGGCACAATCATAGAATAATGCGGTGGACGAAAGGAGCTGCAAAAGGCTCTATTGTGGTTGGTGGGAATGGACAAGGAAAGGAACCAAATCAACTTGATACTCCTGAAGATTTATCGTTCGATGAAGAATATAATCTTTATGTGAACGATGCTGAAAATCGTCGAGTACAAAAATTTGCTGTGGATTTAAACTGAAACTATTTTAATCATAAAATAAAAGAAGGTTAACGATTCGTAAAAAGAATCAGTCCAATTGAATTTTAATCATCTGTTCATGTAGAAACAAAGAATATGATGATAGAAAGTATACATTATAGTTTTTAAATGATTTTTAGAAGATATTTATAAACACATGATCCTGCTACTTCTCTATTTTCTATGTATACTTATGTCAGTCTGAATCGACCAACTAAGCCATTTCTGGTTCGATTCTTTATTCAGAAGGAAAAAAAAACAAATAATAAATCCAACAAAAAGAATCAATCGATAGACATATAAAGTGTCTAGACTATAGAAATGGTGTAGGTGGGTGTGGGTTTAGGTGTGGTTATAGTTCACTTCTTAAGCCACATCATAACACCCACACCCTGTTTTTGTGCGGATACAGCTTGTCAAGATGTACACCATGATCAAGAAATGTAAAGGAAAATGCGCTGCGCTTGAGAATTTCCCAAGGACCACTCTGTCCGGGTTCTACGAAAAACCAATGGATTTGATAGTATGCTTCTTGCGATCTAGACTGTCGGTCCCGAAGTCATTGCCATTTTTCTGTGGAGATAGAGCAGTTTAAGAGCTGCAAAATGATAATAAAAGATTAGGCAGCAATGGAGACGCCAGAAAATCTCAAGGAGCACAGTATTGGCAATTTTGGGAGTAATGGACATGCAGTGTAGTGTGATCAATGATATATTTTTGCAGGTATGATTGATGCTTCACACTATAAGATCGCTGGAACATATGACCGTCGTATGGTGATTAGTTGTAGAAAAGTCGACATCCATTCGCGGAGACGTTGGAAACAAACCATTAATGAAGAAAGCTCGAATGCATTTTGTAATTAGAGGAAGTCCGCCGCTCACACTTACGGAACAACCACAACAATGACAGATATAAGAATTGTTCGAATCGCATCTATTTGAGATGTAGTAAGAATTCATGTAACCTCCCATTTATATTTTATCACCGCCGTCTGTAAAATAAATCTAACAATTGCCTCTCTTTGAAAATTTCTTCTTCATATCTCTCTCTCTGTAAAACATCTATGCTCTGAATCATTCAGCAAGGAAAACGTTTTCTTCGCATCTGTCGCGCCATCTCTTAACCTCTCTCGAAATCACTGTCCACCAAACATATTCTCTCTTCTTTTCTCTCTGATCTCGTATCATACGTCTAAGCCTCGATGTAGCCAACATATTCTCCATCATTCTCCGTCGTTATATAGCCACCTCCACCTCAGACTCTCTGTATACCACATCTTCTACACGAATCTTTCTGTTACTACCCTTCCTCTCAACCCCTAAAATCCCTCTTCCATTACTGCATACCAATCATCCTCGACATATTGCTTAAGCATTGCTTCATTACACATTCATAACGACTTCTGATCTATAAGCCATTCGTCATATTCCTCCGACAACTGTTTTCCTCACAACGATTCGAAAGTGTCGTCCGTGATTTTTTTTTCAGGACAGCTAATTTTCCATTACATTTTGTGATCATCGTGTACATCTTGAAAAGCTCTATCTGCACCGAAGAAATGGCGACGATATCACGACTGATACTCAAGAACGTATCGGCCATATTATCCTAACAATGGTCTTTCTGTAGAGTCCGGACAGCGTGCTCCTTGGAAATTCTCTACCGAAACATTGTTTTCTTTACATTTCATGTTCATCTTGAAGGACTTGTAAGGCTCTATCTGAATACGAAATATCATGATGGTATCAGCAGCGATACTCAAGATTGTGTCGACCATACTATCCCAACAATGAGTTTTCCTGTAGAACCTGAACCGTGTGGTCCTTGAGAGTTTTCGAGCGCAGCATATTTTACTATACAATTTGTTATCATTTGGAAGGTCTTGAAAAACTCTAGCTGATTACAGAAAATGGCGATGGTATCAGGAGCGATACTTAAGATCTTACGGATCATACTATCCTAACAATGAGCTGTTCTGTAGAATCTGGACAGTGTGGTCCTTGGAAATTTTTGAGGGCAGCACATTTTTCTTAACAATTTGTGATGATTTTGTAGCTTTTAAAAAGTTCTGTTTGCACAGAAAAAATGACGATGGTATCAGGAGCTATACTCAAGATCTTACGGACCATACTATTCCAACAATGAGTTTTCCTGTAAAACCTGGACAGAATGGTCCTTCGAAATTTTCGAGCGCAGAATATTTTCCTTAACGATTTGTGATCATTTTGTAGCTCTTGAGAAGCTCTATCTCCCCTGAAAATATGAGTTTCATTTGGTAAACTAACGCGGTTAGCCTGTGATGTGGATTCCGATATTGATAATGATTCTGTCCTAGGTAGAAATGTCGAGAAGAGGTCTCGAAACGTGACCTGAAAAGGTCCAGATGGTTTGTTCTTACTTAGAAGAAGATGAAATTCAATTCTATAAAGTGTTCTGAGATGATTTTTATTTAGGGCCGTTTTACGTGCAAACCCGCTCCCCTCCTTTGTTACCGAGAAGATTTCATTATTACCCATCAATATTGTTCAAGTAAATTTTCTTATTGCTGACCGACAGAAGAGAAAAACATAATTTGTACCAGTTTTTATTATGAGTTTAAAATATGCATCTGTTTTTTACTTGATAAAAATAAAGATTTTTATATGATGAAATTCTCTCCCTAGTGACTGTTTGTTTCCAAAAAAATCATTAAAGACAGTCATTAACTATTAAAACGTTGTTTTGTAGCAATAGGTAAATAACAATCATTGAATGAATGATGTCTTTCTCGCTTCCATAGATTCTTTAAATAAAGTACTTCCAAGCAACCTATGAAAAAAAAATACAGAACAGTGCGTCAATATGAAAAAAAAATTCTGTTTTACTCTCATTTCTTTTACTCTTTATAGCAGCGATATTAGTTGACTTAACCTCAGGAATGATTTTTTCTGTTTGTATGGCTCTCCATGACAACGATAGCTTTATGCTACTAACGAATACTCTTATTCTTACTCAAATAAAAGTAAATTTTTTCATTTTCCCTTCTAATTCTTTTTAAAAACAGTGAAGACTATTTAAAGAGAAATAGTATGAACACTGAGCCACCTCCACCCTACAGTAAACGAAATTTTCTTCCTCTTTTAGTTTTCAGACATTTTATCTTACTGATACCTAGGTGATCCAGATTCTTCTCAAAAAGAACAACCAAAAATGTCCCAACCAGTATATGTAGGAACTCCAGTAGTTATTGTAGGCGACTATCCAACACAATGTACATGTCCTAACTGTTCAAACAGATTGTTACACGGACACAAAAGAAAGCTGGTATACTGGCTTGGATTATATGTGCTTTTCTTTTCTTTACGTTTTTATGGCCGTTTTGTTGGATACCATTTTGTGTTGATGTTTGCAAGGTCTCTATCATGTTTTATGTTTTCTTTAAGTTATCTATTCTATTTATGATGTACGTAGGATATCGAACACTATTGTCCAAATTGTGGTGTACTTCTTGGTGTCAAGAAACAACTATAACTATGCGAACTAATATATTTTATTCACTTTTACTTTTTATTTTTTTGATAAAAATATTTAAATTTAAGAAAACGATTGAATAAAGCTTATTGTAAGAATGACAATATAAAACAGGGTTGTCGAATCTCCTGATTTGATCAGGAGACCGCTGATTTTTAGTTTTTTTCCTAGTTGGTTGTTAGCGATACTTTGAATCTATAAGAGAGTTCAAAGGCAAAAAGAAGAACTGTTATAGTATTCAATAGTTATAGTAATGAGTAAGGAAATACGTGTTTTTATTTCATACTTCTCTAAAAGAAAACATCAACTACATGACCTAGTTATATACAAAGTACTTGTTTTTTTTTACTGGATATAGCAGAAAGATGTATGTTATTGTGTGGAAAACAAGATCTTGAAAACCAGACCAGAGACCGATAGACAAAACTTTGAATAGCAAAGCAAGACGCCTCTCATCTGGAAAGATTTTAGCATTTCTTGAATATCACGTCGGATTCCTTTTGGTTCAAAGTTGAAAATAATCTTGAATAACTTAACAAAATTTCTGCGTTTCATTTTCATTATTAGTATGGAGTTGATATAGGCTCATTTGCACTACTATTTTGTTGCCATAGTTAGATGGGAATTACAAACATGAAAAGAATAAAGAGAGCTATAATGCAATAAAAAAAAGTGAAGGCATCGATAACAAGGAAGCAGAAGTAATAGCCATTTCAATAAAATGTTTATCCAATCGATCATAAAAGGCTTAAGAAAAAAAAAACTTCGTTTGTTAAAAGTTAACTTATTTTGTCGTTACAGAATATTAATGGTATAAAGCGCTTCTAGCAGAAATGAGCGAAGAAGCAAGTGCAAGTAATTCATATAATGACTTAAGAAACCAAGAATGATTGCCTTTTTTTCACTCTGCTAAGAGTCTTTCTATCATTCTATTGCTTTACATGTATATTAATAATTTTACTTGAACTTTACGATGAAAAATAATTTTGACTGATAGATCAGAATAAAAAAGAATTTAGGATGAATGGAGATAAGAACATTCACTGGTCAAGTGTACATAATAGATAAAACTAGAAACAATATTTTCACGATTGTTCTATATAGCAAAAAACATTACTTATGATAGAGCTCAAGTGAAAATGATATCATTTGTATTAAGTTATTGATCATCAACTTGGTATGGAAGAGATTAAAGTGCTTATGTGAGTGAAAATTCGAATTTTCTACGAGACAACCACCTAACATTCTCTTAAATTCAAATAGAAAACCTCCTGATTTTTCTCCTGATTTATAAAGGATATTCTCCTGATAAACTTCTGCTTTAGGATAAGAAACTCCTGATATTTAAAATTTCAATATGGTAACCCTGCATATTACCCAGCTAGACGTCATTATTGTTTCAATATATTGATATACTCGTATCTTTCTTCACGATTAGTTGATCTTCAGTGTCTACTATATTCAGTCTAAGTCGTTTTATCCGCCTGTAACTTATGTACTCATATTTGTGCATACTTAAATTCTCAGGATATGAATCAAAATAATTCAGATTGATAGTATCTAAAACCAATTATTTTGTAATTTTGGAAATTTCTTTACATGGGAGTATATCTCACAACGACGCATGCTACCTTCTGAAAAACGTCATGTTATGAGAAGTTAATATCAGATAATTATTATTTCTTGAAATATTAGAAATGAATTATCACACAGAGCTCTAAAAGTATTGAAGGGAACGAGAAGGAACCCAGTTGTTTCAGTAGAGCTCTGCTAACATCTCTCATTGTTGAATATGTTTGTATTGACATAAACGAAAAATATATACATACTGACAATGGTGATTTACTAATTTTCTGTTGTAAATGTACCATTTTAAATGTGACTATCGAATTTCTTTACCACGAAGAAAGACAATGAATTTTATTCTGGTGTGTTCTTCACATGGTGCTTCATGTAGGGCCAAGGGAGAAACGGCGGATTTGGGATTTTTTTGGATTTTCATAATCCCAAAATCCACAATCAATATCCTGTTGCAAATACAGGGATTTCGACCTGAATTTTTTTTCATAAACTCCCCCCCCCCCCCCGCAGAATAACAGGCCATGGCCTTCTATTGTGGGCTATTTTTTGCTAAGATTTACCTAAAAAAACCAGGGTTTTTGGAAAATTTTTCTGGCTTTCAAAAAGGCACTTTTACCAGTCAAGTTTCGTAAAACCAGTTTTTTTACGAGACAAAAAGTACTTTTTGCTACAAAACTTTGGTTGTTTACTAAAAACCCGATACTTTAAGTACTAAAATATAAAAATCCACTGGATTTCTAAAAAAAAGTTTCTGGAAACCTCATGGCCTTCTATTATGCCTTGTGAACTTTTTTTCTGGGGTGGCCTTCTAATATAGGGTGGCCTTCTATTCTGGGGAGGAGTTTATGTAGATCTCGTGGTTCTTAAAATATTCTAGAAGTTTTAGCGCAAATGGATGTTTTCTTCTGAAGATAATGCGATCCCAAGAAATACTCATATTTCACATCTCGGTGAGAAAATCCACTTTTCTTGGACATTGATTATCTTGAGAAGGAAACAACTGTTTGAATTGAAACTTTTAGGATATTTTAAGGACCACAAGCTCTACATATGATGAAAATTTTAGCTCGAAATTTCTTCATTTATAAGAGGACATTGCTGGCGGATTTAGGGATTTTTTTGGATTTTTCATAGATTGGTGATTCCGTAAATTCGCCTTTTCTCCTTTGCTTGAGGAACAGTTGATAGTAAGTCAGTTTCAGAAAAAACGTGAAAAATGTTTTGAAGAACATCATTGTTGTTTACGGGTGATGATAGTTTTAATCGTTTAGAATTTAATGTATGTTCTTTAAGATGTTCTTTGTGTTTTTGATAGAGAAGTTGATAAAGGTATCGAGTACTACCACGATAACCTGTTTTCATTGTGTAAGTATGATCATCAGTTTCAAAGCAAAACAAGTCTCTTAATATCGTTTAAGGCGTAGTCTGAAATTGAAAGAATAGCAGATACATCTTCCATGTCGAGAAACGAATATACACTTCGAGTTTCTAGAGCTTTTAGCAATTTAGCTTCGGCTGATTCAGCAATTTTTTCAGCCGTTTTGTAAAAATCTTCGTCGCAAAATCAAAGTATATCGAGGCAGACAAATATTTTCAAAAAAGCGTTTAAACACATGAAAAAGTTTCTTAACAATATAAAAAGTTGAGGTTTTTGCTCTTTTTGTACATTTACACACGCTTTCAGTGAGAACACAATTGTAAAAGCGTATAAACGCTTAAAAGGAGCACGAAACACAGATGTCTCCTTCACAATCGTAAATCGCCATCATGACTATGATAACAGGGAACGAAAATGAAAAAGACAACTGCGTTTTGTGTTCTTTTTATGCGTCTATACATTATTACAATCGTGTTCTCGCTGAAAACGCGTCGTACGCAAAGAAAGGGTAAAAAATGGGTATTTTTCGCTCAAAGGCAAGAACTGCGATGGTGAATGTTAGGATTCGCCATTTATATATCTTATATAGATGGACGATCCTCCTTCTTATTCTTCTTCTTTCTCTTCTCTCTCTCTCTCTTCCAGTAGTTAGTTGTTGTGTTTACTGTGTGTGTGTGGTGTATATGTTATAGATGGTGATCTAAGGTTGATCTATTGTTTTGTTATTATTTGTTTTTTCCTTTTTTACATCTTTTTGTGAACAGTTTAAGTTCTTCTATATTATTTTCAATAAAGAAAGTACGGAACCTAACAATGGTGCACTAGCCGATATTTCTTAAAACTCAAATAAAAAATTCCGCGTGGCAGGCAAGTAAATATCCGGCTAGCAACAACATTGATGAATATTAAACCAACTCGATCTACAACCGATTTCATGCAAACAGCTATTGATTCTTTATTATTACCGCTTAAAAAAGAAAAAGAAAAAATCATTAATAATGTATAATTCTGAACAAGTTAATATTGATTCTACACACACAACAATCGATGTAAACAAAAATGATAAAAAGTTTACGCAACCAACAACATATACGCTTGGTCATGATTTACATGATCAGCAACTAGATCAAAATGAATAAAAACAGCAATCTTCAATTTATTTAGCATTAAATTCAATACAAAAATTTGATGGAAGTGGTGACCCAGAACTTTGGTTAAAACATTTTATGGAAAAATTTGACTCCTTACAACTTACACGTCGTGAACAATATGAATTAATTCCGGATACATTGACTGGTGAAGCACTTATTTGATAAGCTGAACAACAAGATCATAGGCCAACCTTTATTACATTTATGAAGAAATTTTTAAAACATTTTGATAATCAAGAGTTAAAGACAGATTTATCAGCAAAAATTATTTCATCATGTACGCCATCGAAGCAATCGGGAAATGCTAATTGTCAAGATACTTTTATGGACTGTTTACGAACTCAAATGTTAATCACTGCTTTTGAAAAATTACCAAAATTTTCTGGTAAATCGAAACAAAATGTATTTAATTGGTTACAAGAAATTCAAAAAACAATGAATATATTTAAATTAACAGATAATGAAAAATTGCTTTATATATCTTTATGTTTAGAAGGTGTTGCAAAAGATTGGTTTTTTGATTATGTGGATTCATTTTTAACATGGGCATCTTTTCTGGAAAAATTTATAAAAATATTTAAATTACCCAGGTATACTGATAATTTATTTGATCCATTATGTCTTTTTGAAAATTATATTAAACAAAATACTAAACAATGCTGTTTTGAATTTATGAATTTACATAAAGAAGAAAATAATATAACTCCACAAGCCATTCCTTTAATTGAAAAAAATCGATTTACTTTTCATTCACCAACAGATAAACAATATATTGCAACATCAACAAATATTAATAGTGAAGATACAAGTATGTTTCTTGGATCTATTAAATCTGATCTTGATCAACCAGTTTCTCAACAATTATCCGAGGTGAATCCAATAGCTTTTGAAACAAAAGAAGAAACATTAAATAGTGAAGATGAACGAGAAAGATCAACTATTCAAACACAAAAGGTTGATTTAGCTCCAATGTATGATGAATCATTCAATGTTTTAAGTTTGGAAAAATTAACACCTGATGATATTAATATTGTTTCCGATGGTCGCGATGTTTTTAAAAATTTTGGCATTACAACTTATAATTCGATTATTGCAACTGATACTGTATTTAATGTGATACAATATTCATTAAATATGCATAATGAACCTATAATAACTGAAATACGTCGTCAAGCAAACATTACAACAACAACACAAATGATCTTACTCAAAATTAAAATAGCGTTCGACGTAAAAATTTACAAAAACATTTTGAAAATTTATTGGCTAATGAACCGGCCGTTTGATCCTGGTGGTGTAGTGTCGGTCAAGCAAGCTTTTGGCTTTATTTGCTTGACCTGTACTGTGGGGGGAGGTGTTAGGATCCGCCATCTATATATCTTATATAGATGGACGATCCTCCTTCTTATTCTTCTTCTTTCTCTTCTCTCTCTCTCTTCCAGTAGTTGTTGTTGTTGTGTATACTGTGTGTGTGGTGTATATGTTATAGATGGTGATCTAAGGTCGATCTATTGTTTTTGTTATTATTTGTTTTTTCCTTTTTTCCATCTTTTTGTGAACAGTTTAGGTTCTTCTATATTATTTTAAATAAAGAAAGTACGGAACCTAACAATGCTGATCAATTTTCCTTTCGCATGAGATACTCGATCAGCTGACTGACTTCCAAGGTTTGCTTCGAAATGAGAAAAACATGTGAATAGAACTATCGTTATCAATGTTGCTTTCCCTCTAATGTTCAATCAGCACAGCGGATCCGAAGATTTCTTCGAAGTCTGGCAAAGAGGTGAACATAAATCTCGTTATGAGTGTTGCTTTAGCATGTAATATTCGATCAGCTGATCAAGTCAAAAGGTTTGCATCGAAGTAAGAAAGAGATCCGCATGGAAGTCTATTTATCACTATTTCTTTGACACGTGATGCTCGATCAGCAGACCGAGTCGCAAGGTTTGCTTCGAAGTGAACAAAATAGGTGAACAGAAGTATATTGATGAATGTTCATTTCAGCTGTGATGCTCGATCACCAGGTCAAGTTCCAAGGTTTCTGTCGTAGTGAGCAAAAGAGATGAAGAGAAGTATTATTATGAATGTTCATTATCTGTGTGCCGTTTGATCAGCAAACCGAGTCGCAATGTTTGCTTCGATGTAAGTAAAGTAAGTGGGCAGAATTCTAGTTATGAATGTTCTTTTCCCATGCGTCTTTCGAACAACTCAACAAACTGTACCGTCTACTTTGACGTAAGCAAAAGAGACGAAAACAAGTGTGCTTATCAATCTTCCTTTCGCCTGCCATGTTCGATCAGCTCTCAAGTCGTCAGATTTCCTTCGAAGTAAACAAAACAGGTGAACAGCACTCTTCTCAGTAATATTCCACGGTAATGTCATGTATTGTCAGTTGACCGACTCGCAAGGTTTCCTTCGAATTGACGAAAAGAGCTGAACAGAAGCTTCTTGGCTAATGCTTCTTTGGCATTTGATGCTCGCTTAGCTAGCCCCGTCGGCAGCTTTTGTTCAATGTGAGGAAAAGAGATGAACACAAGTCTTCTTACGAATGTGCCTTTGTCATGCCATGATCGATCTGCTGCCCGAGTGGTGAGTTTTGCTTCAAAGTGACCAAACTACTGTGCACTGTTTTTTTATACTTCTAAGGGAATCTTGCGACTCAATCAATTGATAGAACATCACAT